GGGATCAAACTCGGGTCCTTGCGCTTGCGCAGCAGGTGGCGAAACCACTGAGCTAAATCCCCGGCCCACAAATAATATTTTTGAGAGGATCTCACAGGTGTTTAATTTTAAACACTTGCATAGTACTTACCATTCCTGGAACTATGCAATTATTACCTCATTTTATCTTTATGAAAAAAATCTGTGAGAAAATATATTAACTCTACTTCATTGCTAAGTGGGGCCCCATATCTCTGTGCTTTTTCTTTGGCAAGAGTAACAAGGCTGGGGCAGGGATTTAGCTCAGTGGTTCTACCGCCCGCCTGGAAAGCCCAAGGGCCCGAGTTCAATCTTCGGAACCAAAAAAAAAAGAGTAGCAGGGGCAGAGTTGAACCTTATTTGGACCAACAGGATATACATGACTTTAATCTGCCTCTACCTGAGCAGACAGACTTGACACACACACTCTTTCTCTCTAATGACCTCTAAGAGACACAGAAGGGGGGGGTCTGGAAAGTAGGTTGCCCCCTGCCTGTCTTTCTGATGTTTGCTTTCTGTTCCTGTCCCTGAGAACAAGGTCCCCTTCATCCTAGTTCATCTTTTTTATTTATTTATTTATTTTGGGGGTTTTTTTGGGAGGGGGGGTGGTATCAGGGATCAAACTCAGGACCTTGCACTTTCAAGGCAGGCAGCAGAACCACTGAGCTAAATCCCCGGCCTCTAGTTTATCTCTTTTAAAGCTACTTGCAAAAGGGGGGGGGGTATCTTAATTTATTTCCTGATAAGAACTCAGCCATAGGGATAGGGGTGTTAAATTTCTGCTGGATTTGCTGTTTAATTTTTAAAAAATTTTTATTGGTATATTTTAGATATACATAATGATCACATTCATCATAGGGAATTTGCAGCTGTACATGATATATCTTGCTTCTTTTTTCTCTATTCCTCTCTCCTCGCTTCAACCCCTCCTGCTACTTAATCTTGTAGGTTTTTATTTATGTTGATATTTTATGTATGTTCTGGGACACAGAGCAGTACTAAGAGCTATCCCCCCATCTTTGTCCATCAGCCAAACACTTAAAAGTTAATTAGTAATACAAGGTAGCATGTTAGTATTAGAAAAATAACACATGTAAAGAATTGTAAATTCTGAGGGTTGAGAGGCATTTAAAACAACCAGTTAAAACCCAAACATTTGAGAACTTGGGAATTTCCTGTCAAACTTCAAATTACAGTCAGTCCTCCATATTGATAGGTTCAGCATCCACAGATTTAACCAACAGCAGATCAAAATATTTGTGGAAAAATTACATCTGTACTGCACATGTACAGACTTTTTTCTTGTTATTCTCTAAATAGTACAGTTTGACCACTGTGTTTACTGTACATCATATTAGCTACTAAAAGTAACCTAGAGATGATTTAAAGTATACAGGAGGAGGATGTATGGAGGTTATGCGCAAGTATACCATTTTGTATGAGAGACTTGAGCACCTGCAGATTTGGGGGTCCTGGATCCAGTCCCCTAGGATACTGAGGGGTAACTATATATTGAACCCCCTAGGGATTGAGAGGGACTCTTCTGTCACATAGATATGATCACCCAGGTTATTCATAAATGTTAAGATATTGTTCTTCATTTTTACATTCTTATTAAACATGAACTGATAATGTAATTTGCAGATGTATATTAATAATACAAATTGATAAGCCCTAAACATACATTATGTATCAGACACTTAGGTATTCCTTTTTGTATTATACCATGGCTCTATTTCCTTAAACTTCTTTGTGTGTGTGTCTAGGAGGGATACTGGGGTTTGAACCAGGGCCTTGTGCATGGTAGGTAAGTGCTCTGCCACTGAGCTATGTCCTCAGCCCAGTTTTTTCGAGCTTTTGGTTTTGATGATTTCAAACTAAAAGGAAAATTGCAAGAATAGTAATTTTTAAAAAAACCCTGCTACTATAAGATGGTGATTTTCCTAATTCTATCATTTCTTCTGTTTATTAGTTGGCATATAAGGAATTCCTCTTCCCCTTTTTCCTTATTAAATATCTATTATTAACTCAACTATTATTCTGTGAGTAATAATCTATTATACTGCCCTTACTTTGATGGTCAACTTATACCACATTGGACAGTGGGAGCCTGTCCAATATGGGCCTGTGGCTTTTTTTGTTGTTGGTGGTGGGTTGTTTAGACAGAGTCTTGTTCTGTGTTTCAGTCTGGCCTTGAACTCACTATTTTAGCTCAGGCTGGCCTTGAACTCACAGTAATCCTGTCTCCTAGGCCTCCTGAGTACTGGGATTACAGGTGTGAGCCAGTATGCCTGGTTTGGGCCTTTGTATTTTGACTTAATCCTACATGTTTTGCATCTTTGCTGCCCCAAGGCTTAGAATCAGCCTTTTCTTCAAGGAGTCCTCATATCTTTTTTTTTTTTGGTACCGGGGATTGAACTTGGGCCTTTGAGCTTGCACAGCAGGCCAGGCAGCGAAACCACTGAGCTAAATTCCCGGCCCCCCGAATCCTCATATCTTTTAAGGGAGGAATGGTGTTTAGAAGCTAGATCTTTTCTTATCACTTTTCTATTTTTCTCCTTTATTAATTTTGAGTCAGGGTCTCACTTAGTCCAGATCTTGTGATCCTCTTGCCTCAGCTTCCCAAGTGGTAGATCACAGGCGTGGGCCCCCAAAACCAGCTCTACTTGTTTCTTGACTGTGTTTCTATGCATTTAATTTTTTAACTCATCTGAAATTTATTCTGTAATGTGATGTGAGATACAAATCTGTATAGTAAACAAATTTAAATTACCTGCAATAGCAATACAATATAAACTAAAGACATTTGTGTTTGTATACTTCTCCTTTGGGAACACTGATTCAGGGAGACAGTGTTAATTTTAAATAATATATTGAAATTGCCAAATGACATATATTTAATTTTACATCTTATGTGTGGTTATATTTTCTCTAACTTGTAGGTACATTTTCTAGAATCATAAAACTTTGTGAAGAAAAACGTGAAACAAGTGAAATAAAGAGGGGAAGAAAAAGTGGCAGTGTGCCATCTGTAAAAGGAATTACAAATTTAGGAAATACTTGCTTTTTTAATGCAGTCATTCAGGTAAGAGTTAACAGAAAGATCTGTAAAATGTAACCTTAATTTATATGCACATTGGCGTACCTGTATACTACTAAGTGACTGCTAAACTTTCCTCTACACATTTCCCTGTCATATTTCTTGTGATTTAGGATCTCTTTGCATATTGTCATACACATGCACACACCTTTTTTTCACACAGTGGACCTGAAAGGTCTTTTGTGTATTTTTACAACTTTGTTGGTAATAGTGACATTTATTAAATGTAATATGCAATAAGTTAAAAAAAATTAAATAGACATTTTTGCTATGGTGGATGAAATTTGAAATTTTGAGAGTAATCTTTTCATAAAATCAAAGGCATAATATAACTGAATCAGAAGACTTTACTTTTATTTTCTTTTAGAACTTGGCACAGACTTATATTCTTATTGAACTAATGAATGAGATAAAAGAAGATGGTACAAAATTAAACATCTCTCCTGCAGATTCTCAGCTGGTAAGAAGCATAATTATCTAGATAATATCTGTTTTCAGATGAGCCACTGATGTTGCCAAAAATACATCTTTTCTATTTCTCAAACTCTCAGTTGGAATGGTAATAAGAGGACAAAATAATAATTCAAAGCTGGGTGTGGTGGCGCATGTGGAAGGCTGAGGCAGGAGGATCGCTGTGAGTGCTAGGCCAGCCTGGGCCATATAGTGAGTTCAAGGCCAGTCTGTACTACAAAGTGAGACCCTGTCTCAAAAAACAAAAACAAACTCAAAAAATTCAAAGCATTTTGTGAAAATAATTAGATTTAAAGTCTTTTAAATCGTATGTTTAAAGTACTTTATTCAGATATATCATGGATCAAACCATACAGACTGCAAGGCAGTTTTTAAATATATCAGAAAAACAAGAGACATTTGACTTGTTGAGCAAAATATCTAGGATTGTGTTTTGTAGTTACTGCTGACATTTGTTTAAATTTAGCATCTTGTTCTTTTTTTTTTTTTGGTACCGGGGATTGAACTCGGGTCCTTGTGCTTGCAAGGCAAGCAGCAGAACCACTGAGCTAAATCCCCAGCCCTAACATCTTGTTCTTTAAAGGTAGATTTAATGGGGAGCAGCTGAACTTTTTTGTTTTTTTGGTACCGGGAATCGAACTCAGGACCTTGAGCTTGCCCCAGGCAGTTGCAGCGCCACTGAGCTAAATCCTTGGCCCTGATAATGGGTTTTTAAGTGTGTAAGAAAGAAAGAAAAATAGTCTAGCAAATAAAAATGAAAGCAGGGCCTGGGATTTAGCTCAGTGGTACTGCACCCAACTCCCAAATGCAAGGTTCTGATTTTGATCCCTGGTACCAAAAAAAAAAACAAAACCCCAAAGCAGTCCCTGCCATTCTAAAGCTGATCTAACACCCAGAGTCAGGCTGTTGTTCAAATAGTATCACAGGAAAGCAACTGAAGACTATGATTTTCTAAGACTGATAAAATGAGTCAAAAGATGACCACTCCATAATTTGTTCAAACACAGACAAAAACAGTGTCACTCTGCCATAGAGAACATTCCAGCACCCTCTCTTTTAGTCAGAATGAGAAATGAATTATTACTGTTTCTTTACCAGATATAGCTTTAATCCTTGTTGTCCTCTCTCCTTTTCCATGAATAAGTCTTATTGAGAGACCCACTCATAGAATTACCTCTCTTTGCTGATAGCATCCAGTCTAGAGTGAATCTCCACTTCCTTAGAAATTTCTTCTAATTACCCAACCAAAGCCCAAATCCTGTGTAGGTTCTTTATAACACCGTCTTACTGAGACAGCCCATCTTGTCTCAAGGTGTTTGGTCTACCTCACTGCAACAAGCAGTAAACTCACTTTGTTAACTATAAGTATGTTCCTGATGGGCTCTGGCTGTAGGGAATTGATTGTAGTAATGAGAATTTTAGGTGGAAATTGAGAGCTGGAAGCTAGGTGTGGTAGTATAAGCCTGCGATCCCACGTACTCAGGAAGCTGAGGCAGGAGGATCAAAGTTTGCGGCCAGCCTAGGCAACTTCATAAGGATGCCCCTTCACCCTTGTCTTCCCCCACAAAATAGAAATTGAGAGCTGGGCCCAGTAGCATACACCTATAGACTCAGGTACTTGGGAGGCTGAGGCAAGAAGATCACTTGAGCCCAAGAATTCAGAGCAGCCTGGGCAACATAGAGGCTCCATCTGAAAAAAAGAAAAGTTTTTTTAGTGTGTGCGCACGCGTGTGTGTGTGTGTGTGTGTGTGTGTGTTAGAGGAAGAAATAATATGTGTGTAGTTCATAATCTGGCTTTGGAAACATTTAAAAAAGAAGAGTCTAAAAGATATTTAGCCCAAGCTGGATGTAGTGGTGCATGCCTCTAATCCCAGCACTTGGAAAGCTAAGGCAGGAGGCCAGCCTGAACTACATAGTGAGACACTGTCTTAAAAAAAAAATTAGTATAATGTAGTATAGCCTCAAATTGTTCTTCCCAGGAGACAGTTTTGAAAGACAAAGGGGTAACATTTTAGAAACACTTTTTCCCCCTTCAAAAGAGAGAGAGATTTGGTCACATAATTCCTCATTCCTTATATTAAATACTTGAGGAAAAGAAAGGTGTGGAGTTTTGCTAGTAAATATAACACGATTTTTGTGAAAATGTAAAAAAATCAAGTAGATCAGTACTTGTAGGGAAGGGAGCACATCATGAGACAGTTATAAGCAACCATGGATTGGCAATTTCATTCATGCTAATTTTATTAAATAAAGGGCAGAGGATATAAAAATACCTGTATTTTTTAAGGCAAGACATTTAATCCTGTTTTCTATTTTATATGTTCATTTTAGATATGAAGGAAAAAGATTTCATAATACTTTGAATCAGTTTAATTACTGTCATTAAATAAAGTATAACACTTAATTTGAAGATAATGTTTTACTTTAAAATTCTGTATTTCTTTTTTTGTTTGTTTGTTTTGTTTTTTTGGTACCAGGGATCGAACTCGGGACCTTGCACTTGCAAGGCAGGTGCCGGAACCACTGAGCTAAATCCCCGGCCCATAAAATTGTGTATTTCTGACATATAGTTGATCATTTTATTTTTATTTTTATTTTTTTATTGTGTTTTTACAGGACCCATTAGCGGTAGAACTTTCAAGCCCTGGACCACTGACCTCAGCCTTGCTCCTGTTTCTTCACAGCATGAAGGATACTGAAAGAGGACCACTTTCTCCTAAAGTTCTTTTTAACCAGCTTTGTCAGAAGTGAGTGTATCTCCATTTTTCATATAATAATCATGTACTAATATATTCATTGCTTGGTATGAGTCATTTCACTTATTATAACACTCTTATTGCCATTGCTGCCTGGATTCTCGAGAGAAAGAACAGTGTGCTTATGCAAATTACGACTCATAATTCTTTAAAGAAGTGATCATTTATCCCCATTATAGAAGGAAATGGAGACTGACAAAAATTACAAAAATTGAGTAGAATGAAAGTGACAAAGCCAAGAATCAAGTAGAAGTTGATCTGTCTTGACTCAAGCCTGGGTACAATACTGCAAAGTAAAAGCTTACAACTGTGTAAAATCTAGAAAGTATTGTAAGAGATAATTGAATCTAGCTTCCTTACCCCACACCTCCTTATTTTGATCTGGGGATCAAACTGAAGGCCTTGGCATGATAGTCAAGTGCTTTACCGCTAAAATAACATGCCTGACCCCTATCTTTCTTATTTTTAAAGATGAGCTTTAAGGCAAATAGAGTGTAAGTGATTTTCTCAAAGTACTAACATGTTTAAAAACAAAATCCCCATATGTCTGGAAATCAACATACCAAAAAGGACCTGATTTAACACTAATATATTCATTTTTTTTCTTATTTGAGAGTTTACTTTTATTTGTGTGAGTCAGGGTCTCACTATGTAGTTTAGGCTGGGCTTGAACTAATTATTGTAGCCTATGCTGGCCTGGAACTCGCAGCGTCCTCCTGCCTCAGCCTCTGACTGCTGGGAGTACAAGTGTGTTCCACCATGCCTGGAAAGAATTTACTTGCTGGAATCCAGGGGTACGCCATGTATAATGTGTTAAAAATGGACCTTGTTTTCATGGAGCTTTTAGGCTACTTTAGTTCACAATTACTGAAATATGAAAAAAAATTCTTTATATGTGCACTTGCATTTTTGTATATCTACAGACTTTAAAAATCTCATTTTAATTCAAATGTATTCTAAAACATAACAGGTTTGGTGTTTAACTTGATTGGTAAATACTGTTTCTTCAGAAATGCGGCTGGGGATTACACTCAGTGTCCTGAGTTCAATTAAACAGATACACACACAAACAAAAACCATAGAAAGACTCAGAAAAATGGGTGTCTCATTGAGTTAGAATGTTTTTAGGGCATTATAAACTTCAGAATTTTTTTTGGGGGGGGCAGTACTGAGGATGGAACTCTAGACCTCACACATGGTAAGCAAGCCTTCTACCACTGAGCTACAGCCCCAGTCCTTTATTTTATATTTATTTATTTAGGTACTGGGGATTGAACTCAGGACCTCACGTTTGCGAGGCAGGCGGTGGAACCACTGAGCTAAATCCCCGGTCCCCCAGTCCTTTATTTTAAAGACAGGATCTTACAAAGTTACTTAGGCTGGCTTTGAGCTTGCAATCCTCCTGCCTCAGCCTCCCAAGTAGCTGGGATTATAGGGGATTACAAGTGTGAACCATTAGGTTAGAAATTTATTTTTGTCTGCTAAAAAACTTCTTTTTTCTGGAATTCCAGTATGTTGAAAATCATGGATTTCAAAAGAAATGAAAGGGATAGAATAAAAACGCTATTGTTGTTAAGTAGTAGGTTTTTAAAAAAATTTTTAAAACTCTTCGTTTTCTGTTATTCTTTTTCATGTGTTTTTGGTGTTTGTTTGTTTTATAATACTAGGGATTAAACGTAGGGTCTCGTGCATGCTAGGCAAGTATTCTACCACTGAGCTACATCCCCAACCCTTTTAATTTTGAAATAGGGTCTCATTAAGTTGCCCAGGTTGGCTTTAAACTTGTGATTATCCACTTTCAGTCTCCCAAATAGCCAGGACTCTGGTGTACCACCACACTTGAATTCTTTTTCCTGATTTTAAAAAGATTTATAAAAATTGAAAGTACCTGCTTATAGGTGAAAATTCAAATTTCTACCTATTCTTATTCCTCAATTATATCCATGATATGTTTTTAGGATCTTTTATCTGAGGTACTTGGGACCAGAAATATTTTCAATTTTGGATTTTTTCTGATTTGGCAATATTTTGGTATATATATTGAGGTGTCTTTGAGAGAAGATTCACATCTAAATATGTTTCATATAAACATCTAAACAAGGTTTTATATATACCTTGTAAAGAAAATCTGAAGGTAATTTTGTACAGTATTTTTAAGTGCATTTGTGTTTTGAATGCAACCTATCATGTTTTATTTTTTCAAAAGTGATTGCATACATGGATATATATGTATATACACCCATTTGCATATATATGCACATTGTTGACAAATTGCTTATTTTGCTTAATGTATTTTATATATCTTAATTTTAATACAAGTGGGTATACCTTATTTGAGTGTGTATTGTGTCTGTGTGGATGTCTTATTTGACTTGTAGGAATATCTCTATGGAATACATTCTTGGAAGTAGAATACCTGTATCAACATTATTTGAAAACTTTTAAAATTGCATTTTCTTTTGCATTTTTATACTTATTTTATGTACTAAGATTTTTGTACTTATTTTAATGTACTAAGAAAGCTACTTTTAAAAAGATTGGTAAAGATTTAATCCATTTATGTTTGGGTCTATTTCTTTTTGTTTGTTTGTTTTTCTGTTTTAATATTTAGATCTTTAATCCACTTCTGTTTTAGTTTTGTGCATGGTGAAAGATAGGGGTCTAGTTTTAATCTTTGGCAAGTTGAAAAAAAATCTTTAACACCTTTAAGAGTTTTAATTTTTTTAAGACTTTTAAATTTTTATAGGGTGAAAATGATCAAAGTATGTTGTGTGCATGTATAAATTTGCCAAAATTAAACCCATTAATCTGTATAATCAATAAACAAAAAATTTACATGTGCACATTGTTTTTTCTGAGACAGAGTCTTGCTGTGTAGTTTAGGTTGGCCTTGAACTCACTATCAAACTCACAGTACTCTGATCTCAGTCTCCTGAGTCCTGGGATTATAGGTGTGAACTACTGTGCCCAGTTGAAGATTGGTTTTTGTGGGGTTTTTTTGGTACTTGGGATCGAACTGGGGACCTTGCGCTTGCGAGCAAGGCGGAAGAACCACTGAGCTAAATCCCTGGCCCTGAAGATTGTTTTATTTCTTCCTTATTAATCTCCAGCCTTTCATCTTTTTCTTACCTTGTGTCACTGGCAAGACTTCCAGTACAGTGTTACAGTGGTGACACGGGCACCCTTGCCTTTATTCCTGATATGAGGTAAGGATATTCAGTCTTTCACAGAATGACAACTGTAGGTTTTCGAAGATTCTTTTTATTGGTTCAAGGAAATTTCCATTTATTAGTTGGTTTTGAGAATTCTTATCAAGAATGGATGTTCAGGGCTGGGGATTTAGCTCAGTAGTTCCACTGCCTGCCCCGCAACTGCAAGGACCCGAGTTTGATCCCCAGTACCAAAAAAAAAAGAATGGATGTTCATATTCCATTCCCTTCTTTCTTTACCCCTATCCCTCCCATTTCCCCTTCCCCTTCGCACCTTTTCTTCCTATTTCACATTATCCATTATACAAAAAGAAAAAATGGAAGCAAAGTCTTTGTAGATAGGGAGGGGTGGATGGGTTGAAGGGAGGGCAGGGGAATGGGGAAAAAATAAGAACCAAGATGGATTATGTAAAGGTGCACATTTCCAATGATGAGTGTCATTATATTGTATACCTTAAATGTACCAATATAATTAAATAAAAAAAGAATGGATGTTCACTTTTAAAAAACCGTTTTTGAACACCTATTGAAGTATGTGGCTGGGCCAGGGATTTAGCTCAGTGGTGCCACCGCCTGCCTCGAAAGTGTAAGGTCCTGAGTTTGATCCCCAGTACCAAAAAACCCCAAAACAAAACACAAAAAAATGTTGAAATATATGGTTTTTTTAGTCTGTTGAAATAATGGATTGTATTGATAAATGTTCTAACTATCTTAAGTGAGGTATATTTTATATATAATAAACCACACATTTTAAAGAATACTATTGGGTAAGATTTAACATATTTATACACATTGCCACAGTCAATGTAAGGAATGTATCCATCATCCTCAAAAGTTTCCCTGATCTCTGTAATCCCTTTCTGGACAACCCCCACCCTCTCAATTCTGTCCCTACCACTTAACTTGTTTTTGTTGCTATTACTATGATTAGTTTGAATTTTTAAGAATTTTATGTAGGGCTGGGGATTTAGCTCAGTGGTTCTGCCACCTGCCTCGCAAGCACAAGGTTCCGAGTTTGATCCCTGGTACCAAAAAAAAAAAAATGAATTTTATATAAATAGGAACATAGTGTGTACTTTCTCAATATAGCTTCTTGGCCGCAATTATTTTGTGACTCATCTGTATTGTGTGTATATATGATTGATTTTTGAAAGTTGGACCAATCTGTTGAAGTTTCTGTTACAGTGATGATTGTCAACACTGCAGCTACTTCTGATGAGCATTTCTTGGGACCAGGTTCTTTAATTTCTTGTATTTTTTTGGTAAATGATTTTATTTTGAAATAGTTTTAAGACTCATATCAAGTTACAGAAATAGTGTACAATTCCTGTATATCCTTCTTCCAGCTTCATCCATGATTATATCATATACAATAATACATTGTCAAAAGCAGAAGGCCAGTAGTGCTAGCATGATACTGTTCACTCTGGTACAGATCTTATTTCACCAGCTTTTACATGCATTCTTCTTTAGAAGTTTCAGAGATGTAGAGTGATTCTGTTTGTCCGTTCTCCTTCATACCTGACTTTCACTCCCTTTATTTCTTCATTTTGTGAACCAGTACTAATGTGCTGAGCTTTTGTTTGTTTTTTGAGACAGAGTCTTTCTATGCAGTTCAAGCTGGCCTTGAACTCACTGTGTAGTCTAGGCTGACGTCCAACACACCTCAGCCTTCTGAGTGCTAGGATTACAGGCATGCACCTCCACACCTGGCCTTGTGCTGAGCTTTTGATATTGACTCCAGGAGGGGGAGTTTGTTCCTGAGGAAGTATAATCAACTGGACAAATGGATGCTGACAGTGTTTTCTGGTATTAGTGGTATTCTGTGAGCCACCAGAATCTCTGCTAGAATGACAGTACAGTACTATATACTGTAGTATTCTGGCTATGTTCCTAAGTGTGTTTTGTTTTGTTTCTTGTTGTTTTGCAGTGCCAGGTTGTATTCTATCACTAAGCTACATCCCCAGCCCACTTTGATATTGTTTTCTTTCCTCTATGTATGTGTTTATATGTGTTACTGAGGACTGGACCCAGGGCTTTTGCACTGAACTATATTCCCAGCTCACTTCAATAGCCTCCTTCATTCTCTTCCTCTCTCCCTGCCTTCCTTCCTTCTTTCTTCTTTCTTTTTTGTGGTACTAGGACTGAGCCTAGGGTTTTCCCATTGACCCATATTCTCAGCCTTTTAAAATTTTTTTACTGTGAGGCAGAGTTTTGCTAATTCCCCAAGCTGGGTTCAAACTTTCAATCCTGCATGGTGGTGCATACCTACAGTCCCAGCACTCAGGAGGCTGAGGCAGGAGGATTGCCATGAGTTCCAGGGCCAGCCTGGACTACACAGGGAATTCAAGGCCAGCATGGAATACATAGCAAGACTCCTCCTCAAAAAACAAACTCAAAACAAAACAAAAAAGCAAAATCAATCTTCCTGTCTCAGCCTCCTGGAGTGCTGGGAGTGCACCACCATACTTGGGTAATATTGTTTTCTAATTTACTAATTCATCCTTTTTTTGTATTTAGTTTAGATGTATTTTGGATATTTTGTATTTTTATGTGGGATAATGTCACTGGATCCAAGGAGATCCACAAATCAGAGATACTCACCTGACCCATGGGACAGGTTACCAGGCTTTCTGACTTCCATCACAGAAAAAGCATTTCCAGTCAGTAAGAGGCATAAAAAGGTTTATACAGCAGAAATCAAAGTACATACTCAAAGAAAATAGTGTGTGTGCCTTCGAGAGAGGCACTCATGGCCTTGAGCTAGGTGTATTTGTAGGGGTAGAAATCTGTAAAATTTGTGAATCTGTGGAAAGATGGGAATTCAGTTTACAGATGAGACAGCTCTTTATGCAGGGAAAGGTGAGGGCCCATTCATAGGTGACCACCATCACTAGGGAAAGGCCCATTTTACAGGTGAAAAGGATGGTCTACTCACAGCTGAAAAAGGTCCATTTACAGGTAAAGGGGAATAGCCCAGGTTTATTGTATCTTTAAGGACCTTAGAAAGTTTTGACTGGGTTTGTGTCCTGAACCTGCAGTTTTTTATTAAAAGTACAATTTTATTTTATTTTTTGTTTTTTTGAGACAGGGTCTCACTGTGTCATTTGGGCCGGCCTTGAACTCAACTATGTAACCCAGGCTAGCTTCAAACTCACTGCAATCCTCTTGCCTCAACCTCCCAAGTGCTGGGATCACAGGCGTGTGCCCCTATACCTCGCTTAAGAAAAATTTTTTAAATTATGATTTTTCTTCTACCTATCTTACTTTTTCTATCCTGCTTCAGTTTTATATTCTTGTTGCTAGTATTTTTAATTGGTTAGTTTATTAATATCCACATGTTAATTTTTTCCTATCTTTATTAATATCTAGTTTTTAATTGACATACATTTATTTTGTGCTTTTGTACATTTTCAACATACTGTAACATTTTTGGACAATTTTATGCAATTTACTTGAGATAATGCAAATTCATTCTAATTGTTGATTTTTTTCAGCATTAAATTTTTTCATGTGTCTTATTGGTTTGTAGGGTCATTTAGAGTAGGTCTTTGTGGGCTGGGGATTTAGTTCAGTGGTTCTGCTGCCTGCCTCAAAAGCACAAGGACCCAAGTTCTATCCTCCATACCAAAAAAAAAAAAGAACATAGAGTAGGTCTTTGTTCATTCTCCCTCATCTTTGTTTCCTCTGCTTTCTGTTTTTCCACTCCTTCCTTCTTCCTCTACCACTCTCACCACTTCCACTTCCTGTCTTCTATCCCTCCCTTCTCTTATTTATTCCTGTCTCTGCCTGACAATTTTAAGGTGGACTCACGCTAAGTCTTGAGGCTGGACTTGGAGGTCTAGTGTCTTATGGGTTCACCTTTACATCTGTGTTGCGCATCGTGGGAATGTGAGAGTCTGTGAAAGCCTGGCTCAGCCTCCTCAGCTCGGTTTGTGCTCTCTGTAGCCTCAGGCAGTGTTTACCTAAGGGCTTCCTTTCTGGCTCTAGAGGAGGCTACCTGAAGTACTAATGAGCCTGGCTCTGGTTCTTGCCTTTACCCCTCAGTGCCGAGCTCTTTTAGGCCCAATGAGTCTGGTTTTGTTGTTTGTTTGTTTTGCTTATTTGTTTGTTTTTTTCTTTGCCTATTATGGGTTTATATTCTATTTTTGCTCTGTGGGATTTACTTTATACTGAATCCCATTTATACTTTTTTCCTCTATGTATAGTTTGTCAATATGTTTGTAGTATAGTGAGTGAGTTTTTGGACTATGTCTAATTCACCATTACCCAGAAAACAGCTCCACAGATTCTTGTTCCAAATTTTTCTCTTTCTTGATGGTCTCCTGTTTTGTGCTTATACATACATTCTCCTATTACATCTTGAAGTTGCTTTGTGCTTTTGTTTTGTGGTTCTGGGGATTGAACCCAGGGGCTCGCACATACTTGGCAAGCACTCTGCCTCTGAGCTGCATCTCCCTTGTTTACATTTATTTATTTATTGGTACTAGGAATCGAACTCAGGACTTTGTTCTACTTACATTTTTTTTTTTTGGTACTGGGGATCGAACTCTGGACCTTGTGCTTGCAAGGCAGGCTGCGGAACCACTGAGCTAAATCCCCAGCCCACTACTTACATTTTTAAATGAGAGTCTTGCTAAATTGGTCAGCCTCCCGTTGAACTTGTGATACTTCTCCCTCAGCCTCCTGACTAGTTGTGATTACAGGCATGCACTACCATGTCTAGCCGTATTAAGGTTTTTAATTTTCTCTTCTTTCTCGCAGTAACGCTTTTACTGAGTTAAACTTCCTGTGAATATTTAGTGTTTCCTTTATTATGAATAGGCTGAATATTTTTATAATTTGATGGATTTTCTTTGTAGTCTTTAAATTTGAAGGTTTTTTGACATTGGTAGCTCAAATAGGCTGTATTAGAGAGTCTGTAAGTCATTGTGTGTGTGGTGTTTTTTTTTCAGTTTTATTACGTTTTCTTCACTGGTTCATTTAGAAGGCAGTAAGTAGTTCATGCATGGCTGAGATGGAACTGGAAGAGACGTGGTAGTGACATTTTCATTTTTGTTCAGGGGTGGTCTCCTTGCGGTATCTTTGCTTTTTTTTTTTTTTCCTCTCTTGTGACAGAATCTCACTATGTTGCCCAGGCTGGCCTTGAACTGCTGTGATCCTCCTGTCTCAACCTCCCAAGTGCTGGGATTACAGTTGTGTGCCACTACACCCAGCTTTGTGTCTTTGTTTATTTTTTTTTTTGTCTTTGCTTTAAAAGGCATAAACTCCCTCCTTGTACTCCTTGCCACCTGGCTAGTGAAGATCCCAGAAAAATTCCCATTTCCCCCTTTAGTCATCTTCCACTCCCCTGACCTTTCCTGGAATCTGCAGCTCAAATATAGTGTTGTGCAGTTTCTGCTTGTCGTGATGCCAGCCATGATGACCCATGGAGTTTGTGTCCCTCTTGGTTTCTGTCCTTCCTTGTCTCTGATCTAGGAGACCAGTGCCCTCTACCACATGCAGAAAGGGGAGCCTAGTGGGGGAATAAATGACAATATTCTCAGCATCATGGAGTTATTTGCTGCTACTTGGCAAAGAGACCTGAATGGTGTTTCCTCTTACAAGCTAGATTCATTCTTGCTTCACTTAGCTCTTTGGGCTCACACCTGAGTTGGGGGCTCGCATCAGAGCGTTCCTAGGAGAATGCTCAGTGAGGAAGATTCTTGAAATTCTGGACTCAGAAGACCTGATTGATTTCCGCAGCTCTTAGCTGGTTCTGCAGTTCTCTCCACTGTAAAATGCAGTTCACAGTTTTTATAAATTCTTTAACAGTGTTGTTGTCTATATCAAATGAGTATGTTTTCATATGTATATCATAGTGAAATAATTGTAAACTGGTCTTATGCTACCAAAAGATATTTAATTACACAAGAACTCTAATTATCAAATCTTAAAGATACATTCACAGAGATAGCAATTTGTAGTCCTAGATTTTAATATAAATACTTGCCTTTCTGTTCATTCTTTAAAGTAGAAAGATAAATAACAGTGTCTTGGGTTTGAATGCTTTTTTTTTTTCTAGCTATATGATTTTGCAAATTGTTTAAATACTTCTAAGCCTTCCTATATATAAGCTGGAGGAAATAATGTGTCTTAACCAGATTGAGGACATTATGACTTAAAATGTGTAAAACTGTTAGTACTATACTCAACTTAAAATAGTTGTTTAATAAGTTATAGCCATTTTGTTCTCAGTGTACACTTATAAGCTCATCCTGATTAGAACAAGTATCACATTTTTTTCCTCCTTAGTTGAAAAAGTAGTAAATTGTATCATTGACTGTTATTTCAAAGTGATTTTAAGTAAGAATAACATTGTCGATCACCTGTGGAATGATTATTGTTTTCTTTCCTGATTTGTTTTTAAATCATAGGGCACCTCGATTTAAAGGTTTCCAACAACAGGATAGTCAGGAGCTTCTTCATTATTTGTTGGATGCAGTGAGGACAGAAGAAACAAAGGTCAGGTTTCTTAATGTTTAATTGCATATTCTCTTTTAGTCCTTATTTACACTTTCAGTTTCTCACACTAGAGAAACTTTGGTATTTACACGTGTGTGTCCTATTTATTTCACTTAAGAGAGTTGCATATTCTCTTTAAGAAAGGGTCCACAACAAAGAAATTCTACTATAATTTTAAAATACAAAAGAAGTCATTTGATTTTTTGGTGTCCTATACTTTTTATTCCTTATGTAATATTTTCTTTTATCTTTTTTATAGCCTCATTATCCTTTATTAATGCCATTTGGCTATAAATGAGATAAATCAGTTCAAACTAGTTTAAAGAAAAGAGAATCTTAGCTGGGTAGGGTGGTGCACACCCATAGCCTCAGGTACTTGAGAAGCTGAGGCAAGAGGATTGATTGAGCCCAGAAACTTGAGGCTAGCCTGGGCAACATAGAGATTTTTGGCCTTATCTCAAAAACAAACAAATAAACAAAGAAGAGAAAGAGAGTCTTTGTTGTTGTTGTTGGGTTTTTTTGTTTGTTTGTTTGTTTTTTTGGTACTGGGGATCGAACTCAGGTCCTTGCCATTTCGCAGCAGGCGGTGAAACCGCTGAGCTAAATGCCCAGCCCTAAAAGAGAGAGTCTTAAAAATCTAGGCCAAGGAAGATATATCTAAGGGATATAAAGGCAGAAAAGTAAGTCTAGAAAGTACTCACCTCATTTACCTTTGTCCATTTTCAAGAGTCTAGAACTGTTTATTACATGGTGGTCATATATCATTGTAAATGGATTAAAAATTTCTTTGCATTTTTTCTTTTTATAAGCAAAACAACAAAATCTTTCATTTTTTCTGTTTCACTTCTTTGACCTGATGGCAGGCACCCTGTGGTACAATTAAATTATTATTTGATCAGAATGGTGCATTAGGATGCACAGTGTCGTAAAAACACAAGCAGTATGCATTGGTTTTTGAAAACTCATCTTTCTTCTGCTATTTGCAGCCTTTAGATGATGTGACAAAATTGCAATGTCAGGTCTGTGGATGTATTCAGTCTCATAGCAAGAACAGTTGTTTGGTCAGTTACAGTGACCCAGGCAGGAGCTGCATTGTCTGGCCTGGGAATGCCACAGCTGTTAATCGTGTGTGGTTGGGCAGTGTCACTGCCATGTGCTTTTTGATTGAAGAAAGGCTACAGTATTATGTCTGCCACCAGAATCTTTCAGTAATGACTGAAAACTACTGACCTCCTTTCATATTGTTTCATTACAGTCTTTTCTTTTGATTATAAAGTTGAGGAATATATTCTTGCTGAATTGAATACAACTCTTAATGGATCATTTGTGCAGACATTATATATTTTTCATAAACAGAAATATATATCACATTTACTAAAAGCAATTCTTTTATAGACACCCTTTTCAACTTACAAATTTGTGCTGCTTTGCTTTTTTTCTAATTGGAGCTGTCAACTAAATTCATACTGCATTTTTATTATCTTAAAATATATCATCTCAATACATTGTTGGACAGAATTATTTTTGTTTGTTTGTTTGTTTTGTTTTGTTTTGGTACGGGGGGATAGAACTTGGGACCCTGTGCCTGCAAGGCAGGCGGTGGAACCACTGAGCTAAATCTCGGGCCTGGATAGAATTATTTTAAAGGTAGAATATCTTAGCTTAACTTAGACTGTACAGTGTTTGACTCTTGTTTTTGAAAGAAATTCAGGATGGCTGGGGATTTAGCTCAGTGGTTCTGCCGCCTGCCCTGCAAGCACAAGGGCCCGAGTTCAGTCCCCGGGACCAAAGAAAAAAAAAAGAAATTCAGGATGGAGATATTCAGTAGTTGAACTTTTATCCTGCTAATTGATTAATGTGCTGCAGTTATAATTACCTCCCTGACCAAAGTGTCCCTTTTTTTCTTTTAATCTAAATGGTCCAAAGTCTGGGTCCTAAAAATGAGGACCTAAACCCATTTATTTTATTCAATATGTAACTTAATAAATTACCATTTTAATGAACCCTTAAAAGTTTAGAGCAGAAAATATAAATTTGTACTTAGGATGCATTAAAAAAACAGAAGCTTAACATTAAGAGTTAATCACTTAAACAATGACATTGTTTTAGTCTTTTTTTGAGTGGTGGGTGTCTTTTAGCTTGTGTATAATTTTACATTTCAGAATATGGCAGAGTCTTTAATCATTGAAATTCATATGTGAATTAGTAAAAACTTTAAGTTTTAGAATAGTTTTAATTTACATTAGAGGCCTTTGTCTTTAGCTGCTTAAAAGGCTATAAAGTGAATATACTGGTATTTATTAGAATTTTGCATTTCAGTCCATTAAATAATTCCACATAGAATTATATCATTCTAATTTCTTCATTTTGGTTCAATAAAATCTTCAAAGGATAAAAATTAACTTTAGCTTAGATAATATCTGCGGTATATTAACTCAGATTTACTGAATCTGAGTTAGAGGTTATCTCAGTATTTGAAGATCTTCTAGGAGACATTTCATTGTTTTGATTTCCTTAGCATGTATTTCATAACAGTGTAATGTGGTGTGAATTATTTCATGTTTACTTTTATGCCTACTTTGTAAATAATTAAGTGTTTTGAGTCTTGCATTTACTACCATAAGATTTAATGAAAATAGCAGTTACAGGAATGGAACTATAACTCAGTTAATGAATGCAACTTGTTTTTACAATTGTTGGAGGTCAGGACATTAAAAACTTATGTTACACAACATATGTCATGCACACACATAAAATATATATATATATATATATATAAATATGCAGTTTAATACATAGCAAGAAACAATTTCAACTACCACTTCTCTCCATCCTTACCCTCAACCCCAAGTTAAAAAACAGACTAAGTAGGGCTAGGGATGTAGCTCAGCTGTGCCTGCTTGGCAAGTGCAAAGTCCTGAGTTCGATCTCTGGTACCGGAAAAAAACACAAAACAAAACTAAACTAAATAGACTATTGGGCTGGGTATGTCACTCAGTGATAGAATACTTGCCTGGCATGTACAAGCCTCTGGGTTTCATCCCTAGAAACACACACACCCACACACAAAGTATTATTATTAATATCATAGAAGCTGCTTGTTCCTCTTTAAATACTTGTCCCTCGGCCAGGCTTGTAATCTCAGTGACGTAAGAGGTGAGGCAGGAAGATCACAGGTTGAAGCCCAGCTTGGGATACTTATCAAGGTCTTGTCTCAAAAATAAAAAGGGCTGTAGGTTAGTGGTGGAGTGCTTGTCTAGTGTGTGGGAGGACCTGATTTCAAATCCAAAAAACAAATGAACAACAACAACAACAAAAAGCCAAAACAGAAATAAAACAAAATTCTTCATCATAAATACACACTATTTTGACTTCTACAAAAATCATTCCATTGTTTTTCTCATAGTCTTGAGAGCTACCTGTGTACTCAAACAATGTCAATTATTTAGTTTTCCAAACTGGGAAGCAAGCACAAACTTCTGCTATTATTGGCTGAGGGATCCTAAAAGAAGATAAACTGAGAGAGCCTCTGGAATGGAATACGATCTGGCTTTTTGATATAGGGAACTCTTTTTTTTTTTTTTTTGGTAGCAAGGATCGAACTCAGGACCTTGTGCTTGTGAGGCAGGTGCGGTGCCTCTGAGCTAAATCCCTGGCCCTGGCTTTCTGCTATAAAGAAGGATAAATTTGAGTCATTGGTAGGAAAATGGTTGCACCTTGAGGCCATAATATTAAGTGAAATAAATCAGACACACAAGCTTAAATATCGCAAGGTTTCTTTTACATGAGAAACCCAAAATATAAATAAATTAAAGAGTAAAATGAAAGATAGGAAGAAACAGGCAGCTAGATCATTTGCAAATAGGAAGGGGACCATGAGATGGAGGGAGGGGAGGGGAAGGAGACATAGAAAGAATTAAGACGTGTTATGTACATGTACCAACTCCCCACAACGAATGTAAACATTATGTAATGCAAATGTATACTAATACAAATTAAAAATAAAACAAATGTGTTCTCAGTGAGGCTTGTTATCTGGCAGAGGTGCATGGGGAACTGTGTGCTAACTCTCTGGTCCGGAAAGGCTAGATTGATGGCTGCTCTGTATTTTCTGGGTTCAACTGGTTTTTGTTCATGTAAGAAGTCTATTGACTTCATTTTCATATATCCTACTATTCTTTTATTATTCATGATAGTTTTTCATTTCAGTCATTTCTTATTAAACTAGGGATTTTATAATTTTTCTCCTTAAATCAATTAATATGATGATTTATATTATTATATTTCCTGATATACCTGCACTCCTGGGTCACAATTAAAAGCCTCTCGGTCACAATGCACTGTTCTTTTAAGGTGCTGCTGTATTTATTCTGTGTTGCTATTTTTGGACTTTTTCATAAGTGATACTGGTGAATGCATACATTATTAGTTTTTTAAAATGTGTATTATGCTTTATGAAAATAATTTGAAAGTTTACTCTTTTCTATGTCCTGGAACATATGTTTGGTGGTATTCCTCTGTGAAATTGTTAGGGCCTGTGGCTTTTCGTAAGGAGTACTAAACAGTGTAACCTCTTCCCCAGAAGTTAGAGGGTTTTCTGTCTCTCCTGGGGTTAATTTTAGCAACTATGTTTTCCTGGAAAATTGTCTACTGTGTTATTTTCTAAGTTTTCAGATATAATTACCTGAAAGTTGAGCAAAGTGGTCTCTTAGGATTATTTAAAATTTCTTTAATTTTGTTAGTGGTTTCTCATATTTCTTTGGTGTGATATAATATATTGCACTATTATCTTACCTAGGGGATTTATTTAACCCCTACCCAAAGAATCAACTTTTGATTCATGTATTAATTCTCTTCAATTTTCATTTCTTTTTGTTATGATACTAATTGATATTCTGGACTTTAGTTGTGTGTGTGTGTGTGTGTGTGTGTGTGTGCACGTATTGTACATAGCATAGTGACCAGCTTGATATAATGTTTTCTCTTTTAATTTTTAATTTTTATTAATATATAGCTTTTATATTAATGATCTTTTTATTTTTAAAATTTTTTATTTTTATTAGTACATGTTTGCAGCACATAATGATTGCATTCATTGTGGGGAGTTGGTACATGTATATAACACATCTCAATTTTTTTTACATGCCCTTTAAAGGTTTCTTCTTAGACAAGAAATTTTATGTGGTCTGTCACTTGTGTTTTGTTTTTTGTCCTGATTAAGTAATGTCATTTTCGAGATAAAGAGAGAAGGAATAAACTTACTCTAAGCCTATAAGAAAAAGCAGTCTAGATTGCTTGCTTTTGTAGACTAATAAAAACACTTTAAACCTAAGAGAGAACCTAAACATAGTAATTTTGACTCTTGTGAGAATTTGGCATTAGAAAGTTACTCATTCATGAATTTTTAGAACTATGAATAGAGGGGCATATTTTATTTTTTTAAAAAGTCACACATTTATTTTTAGGCTAGGGAATTGAGATCCAACAGTGTACCTTGGTACTTGAAAGTCTTTTTATTAAGAGGATAAGGTCTGAGTTAATTAGCACTAGATCTGATTCTATTAACTTTGTTTTACAGAGAATACAAGGTAGCATTCTAAAAGCATTTAACAACCCAACTACTAAAACTGCTGATGATGAAACTAGAAAAAAAGTCAAAGGTATGTTGACTCTTCAGCTGTTAAAATATTCTTCTAGAAGAAAAAGTAAAAGTTACTTTTCAGGGGAAAAACCCCCTGAGCATTATGTAAACTAATTCTCTAAAGTAGTGTGGCCTTAGGAGGATATACTTACACCAGTGACTATAAGATGCTGTAGTGGGACAAAGAAAATGTTAGAATGCATGCATGTGAATTTTTTAAAAGTAAAGCTAATATCACATATACAGATTGTTACTGATGCTTCTATGTAAGGTTTTCTAAGGCGGACTTGAAAAATAGTTGAAAATGGCAATTTCCCTTTGAAGTTCATATTTATTATGTTGTATCATTTTGATACTTAGATAAATAGATTTATGAGTCTTATCTAGTTTTGTCTAACTATAGTGCTTGAGTGCACCAAAGGCTCTTGCAGAGAAGCCACCTACTGAAGAGAGCACTGTAAGTCAAAGACTCACTGGGCGCTCTTAATATTTGCTGTTTTCATCAGTTGAAATATGGGGCAGAAACAATGATTAAGTAAAGTGGATCACATATTTATGAATAGGAGTTTATGAATATGATATTAACAATTTACCTAGTCCTAAGTGTACATTCTGCCTTTAGATATTAACTAGTGTTAGTATGAAGTCCCTTTTTAAATTAATTAATTTTTTGCAGTACTGGGGGATTGAACTTGGGGCCTTCGCACTGAGCTACATTACAACCACTTTTCATTTTTTATTTCAAGATAGGGCCTCATTAAGTCACTAAGTTGCTTAGAGTAGGCTCAAACTTGCAGTCCTCCTGCCTCAGCCTCCCATAGTGATTGGATTACAGGCCTGTACCACCTGGCCCAACTTTGTCCTCATTTTTAGATATCTTAAAACATATATTTTACTTATTTCTTTTCTAACTTCTATTTTTAGATTTTTCTAATTTTCGTACTACATGTCTGTAATTTATAAAGAAAGATACATTGTTATTGTGTGCTCTAAAATTGCATTAGAGTTAAACATTGAAGATTTTCTCAAGTATGTTCCATATTGTGTTAGGATAGTGCCATCTAGTGCATGTTTGGAATAACAGTCCAGTTTTTCTTTCCATTTCTGTAATCTTTTCCATTTTAATTCCTTGTGCAGTTTTGTGGGTTTTTTTGAGACAGGGTCTTGCTATGTAGCTCAGACTGGCCTTGAACTCACTATGTAGTCCAGGCTGGCCTTGAACTGGTGGCAGTCCTCCTGCCTCAGCCTCCGGAGTGCTGGGATTACATGCCACCACACCCGGCTGGCTCCCTTGTATAGTTTTTCTTAATGAAACACTTTAATTTACTATAGCATTTCTAAATAGTTATGTAGTTAATAAATGTTTATTAATATGTCAGATATAAATCTGCTGTCATTCAGTGCCTGAGATAATACTTTAAATGATTTTAAGTGCTATTTATATGAAACATGAAGGTAGAGGCCAAAAAAAGACAGAAGAGAAGTTGAAAAGAAAGTGAATATTTATTAATATACTTTCTCCCTCATAGCTTATTAAGGAAACTTTTGAATTTCTATTAAAGTAGAGATAATAGTATAATGCAGCCTCTTGTACTTATTGCCCAGTTTAAACTCATTTGTAGCTTATTATATTTAATCTATTTTCCCCCAACCCCAGATTATTTTAAATTATATCAAAGGCAGTCTTTGGCCGGGGATTTAGCTCAGTGGTTTCGCCACCTGCTGCGCAAGCACAAGGACCCAAGTTCGATCTCCGGTACCAAAAAAAAAAAAAGGCAGTCTTTTTTGATCTGTAAATGCATCCTAAGAAAAGTAATTTTAACTTGTAGAAGTATTATTAAGCATGTTTGCATATATTGTTAGACAAGTTTTTAATTGCCCAAGTTAATTCCTTACACTATACTGTGTTTACTTGTCTTTTCAGCTGTTTTTCATAGCCACGATCCTGGCAACTGCAGTCCTGAAAGCATAATCTTTTCCCCAATTCTTCTGTTTACCTTGGTGTTAGATGCAGAGTCTTTGAAAGGTTTCATAGGAGAAGCTGAGGTGTGGTATGAATGCTCTTGCTCACCTCTTAAGTTTAAGAACTATTCTTTTTGTTTGTTTGTTTGTTTTTGGTACCGGGATTGAACTCAGAACCTCTGAACTAAATCCCTAGCCCTAGTTTAAGAACAATTCTAAGAAAAATTCTAGTTTAAGAACTATTTCTTGGAGAGTATGGTAGTTAATAGTCAAATTTCCTCTACAAAATTGTAAGGGAGAAAAAGACAGTATAAACTTTTATAGTAAAATGTTATTCAGTGTGATACAGGAAATTTGCCCAATTCAGATTACTTTTGAATAGATAATAACATTTAACACTGTTGGATGGTTGATTTTTTGGTTAAAAAAGTATGATTTTTACAGCATACGGAAAAGAAGGTGTGAAAATGAACTTCATAGATCGGATCTTTATTGGTGAATTAACTAGCACAGTCATGTGTGAAGAATGTGCAAGTGTAGGTATTCTGAAATTCACTTTATGGAATAGATTAAAATCGCATCATTTTATTATGTTTTCTTTCACATGTAACAATGAACAGTCATTTTAAAAATTTATGACAGTCCTAAAAGCCTTTTAAAAAATATACCCTGCACTCCTAGAAAGAGACATAACTTTTAATTAATTTTTAAAGTAAATGTGTGATTTCCCTTTTGACCTTTTAACCTATCTTAATATACTGAAATATATTAACTTCCTGTTTAGACTGAAATGAGAAACTTCTGTGAAAACAGTAACTACGTTACATTGAAATGTTCTAAAATGTAATTCCAGTTGAAATAATATAGTGACATAAAACGGTGATTCTATGACGTCTGATTGAAATTTTGTATTTATATGACTTACTGAAGTTTTATGTGTGTGTATATGTGTACTCATTTTTGGATTTCAAAATAATTTTCATTTTAAATGCCATCTTTAACAAAAACTTAAAGCATGTATAAATTTTTGTAGATTTTCATTTGCTTAGTATGGATATTTCTTTGATAGGTTTAAACTTTTGTCAGATTTTAATGGTAAAAGGAAGTTTTTATATCCATTTTTCTTGTCCCAGGTTATGGAGGACTTTTCTCCCCCCTCTAGGATTATAAATTATATATTATTCTAGCCTGTCACATACAGAATATGTCTATATGATGGATCACTTAAATTTCTAGAATATTCAACATAGCAGTTGATTTTTTTCTCACAAAAGTAGGAAATTTTTTTTTTTTGGGTACCGGGGATCGAACTTGGGTCCTTGCACTTGCAAGGCAGGCAGCGGAACCACTGGGCTAAATCCCCAGCCCGGGAAATATTTTTAAAAATAGAATTATTCTAAAGAATCTACAAAATACTGTTGATATCTCTGCTTTTTTATGGCTTTTTCTTAACATTTTGTACTTTGTTTTAAACTTAAAATTTTAAGTTGCCAGGAAGTTTGATTTCTTTGATACTTTATATACTATGTCTATATTAGAATTCTAATTGAAGTTCTCAATCTGTTTTCTTTTGAAGATCTCCACAGTGAAAGATCCTTTCATTGATATTTCACTTCCTATAATAGAAGAAAGGGTAAGGGAAAAAAGTAATCATGAAGCTTTTGTAAAAATATTTATTCATTCATTTACTTAGACATTTGTTGAGTATATTAGACATATGGGAGCCTATCTTTTTATACATAATTAAGTTTGATATTGGTTTTATGCAGGGTTACATGAAGCATGATATAGTTCTTATTCTCTAGGAATTTAAATTCTTATGCTTTGTATTTTGAGTTTCTAAAAAAAATTACCCTTTTGTGTTTCAAGTGAGTTAGGAATTTTAAAAAGAAGATAATATCCAGAATTTATTTGCTAAAACAGTTTGCTATGTATACCGCATCCTAATAGGTTTCAAAACCTGTGCTTTTGGGAAAAGTGAATAAAAACAGAAGCTTACAGGAGGCAGACCCTGATCAGTACAGCGGTACTGTTGCTGTAGAAAGTGCTTATCAACCCAGAGCTGCCAAGAAGTATCCTTCATCTAAAGATAAGGTTAGTCAGTCTATGAGTATTTGTTAGGCATCTGGTTTTAACACTTTTTATTCAGAAAAGTTTCAAGTATATACAAAAGTAAAGAAGATCGCATAATCAAGTCCAGTATCCCCATTTTTCAGCTTCATAATTATCAACTTATGACTAATTGGACTTTTCTGTATCTACCCATATTCTTCCCTTTACCCATCCCAGATTATTTTGAAATAAATCCCAAATATACACTTCAAAGTATATTTCTAAAAGATACTCTTTAAGGGTTGAGAGTAGCTCTGTGGTACTTATCTAGCACCTCAAAGCCCTTAGTTTGATACCTAGCACTGCAAAAAGAAAAAAAATATACAAGGCTTTCCTTATAAAAGTATAACCACAGTAACATCATCATAAATAAAAATATCAGTAACTTCTCAGTAACACCAAGTATTCATTCATTATCTAAATTTCTGTAATTGTTTTGTACTCAGCTTTTGCTTTTTAAAGTTTGAATTTAGGTGTTTCTTAACAAAGATCTTTGGATTGCAATTGATTGTCATATTTCTTTAATCTACAGTTTCCCTCTAACTTTTTTAGCACTTGCTGATTTTTTAAAAGTTTTCCATATTCAGTAATATTTCATTTTCTGTTGCCTTCTCATGGTGTTAACAGATTTTTCTGTGTCCTTCATTTCTTCTTTAAGACAGTTAGATCTAGAGGCCATATTAGTTCAGGTTTGATTATTTCATGTTTTTGTTTGTGGGTTTTTTTTGCTACCTGGGATCTAACTCAGGACCTTGCACTTGCGAGGCAGGCAGCAGCACCACTGAGCTAAATCCCCAGCCCCTGTGTTTTGTTTTTTGAGACAGAATCTCACTATGCAGTTCAAGATGGCCTTGAACTCACTATGTGGCCCAGGCTGGCCTCAAACTGGAGTCAAGATCCTCCTGCCTCAGACTCCCAAGTGCTGGGATTATAGGCGTGTGCTACCAGGCCTGGCTCAAGAAACTGGGTTGACACCACTTAGTCTGATCAAAAAGTAGCAACTATTAGGCAAATTAAAGTCTAGATACAAATAAAATATTCTCTTTCAGAGCTATGGCAGCCAGGCAACACTGTCTTAATAGCCTGGGCAATTTAGAGAGACCCTATCAAAATAAATATATACAGGGTTGGGCATGTAGGTTGTCAGTGTGAATGCCCTGTGTACAACTCACTGCACCAAAATAAAAAAGAACAAAACAAAACAGGAAAGGCTTATTGAAAAGCCTCCCTTAGCCAGGCATGGTGGTGCACTCTCATAGCCCCGGCACTCGAGAGACAAACAGGAGGATCTCGCTGAGAGTTGAGTCCAGCCTGAACTACAAGGGAGACCCTGTCTCAAAAAAAAAAAAAAAAAGTCTCCCTCATAGCTCTCTTCTATAAAAAAACCTCTCCCTATAAACTGGTAACCATTATTGTTAGTTTCTTGTGTAAAGCTTTACTTTTGAGTTAGAAGTACATATTTGTATATCTTCTATTGTTCTTAGTTCAGGTAGAATTAGGAAATGGATCTCAGAAAAGTACAGTATTTATTTAATAATTGTGGAACAGTTAAATGGGACTTATTGACATTTATTTTCAATAAGGTCACAAGATTCTTTTCTCTGAAAACACTGTCAACTTACAGAATCATGACAGAAGACATATAAGACAGTTGTCATCTGGAGAAGAGAAAACTGTTACTCATCAGAAAAATGCCAGTTTTGGGTTGAGAGGAGAGCCCTCAGCGTCTTTGAGCACTGTGGGCACCGAGGCCTCTCTGAACGAAAGCCCCAGCGAGGGCAGCGAGAAGGCCGCCAGTCAGTCTGAGAGCAGCGCTGATGCCGACAGCGAGGCCTCGGAATCCGAAAGTGCGCTGAAGCCCACAGTTCTCTTCCGACCTAGTGGCGAATCTTGTGTGCACCTGGATGGGTGCCTTCCCCAGCCATCAGGCAGGGAAGTGCCACACGCCAAGGAGACAGGCAGTGGCAACGAGGGAATGGCTGAAGCTATTTCTCAGCTTTGTTTGAGCAGCACCATAATTGGAGATGGAGATTTTGACAGAGAAAATCAGCCACTGAATGTTCCAAGTAATTTCTCAGAGGAGAAATATATGAGGTCTCACAGTCCCCAAAATGCTTTTCAGACCCTTTCTCAGAGCTATGTAACTACTTCTAAAGAATGTTCAGTTCAGTCCTGCCTCTACCAGTTTACATCCATGGAATTACTAATGGGGAATAATAAGCTTCTCTGTGAGAATTGTACTGAAAAGAAACAGAAATACCAAAAGGAAACTGGTTCTGCAGGTAAATAGCCTAATTTGTTTTTGTATTATTGTTGGATTATCAGTGACTAGTGGGTTACAGATCCCAAGTGGAGGAATCTGAGACCTTTCTTTCCATACTTGAACTGCTTGGCACAGGAACTGTCTTACTCATAATTGTCCTCAGCACTTAAGACATGGGATAAGTACATTTTTGACCACTTTTCAATTGATTTTTGTTGAAATAAATCAAAGAGCAAGCAGTATACACCTCTGCTTTGAAAATGAAAATCCACATAATTTTATTTGAGGGAACTAGCTATCAAAAATCTTTCTGAAAAAAATTTCCCAAATCTTTTGGTTGTATCTTCAGGGAGTTAATGTCTTTCATTAGTCCCATCAATATGTTGTAAGCTTAAGATATAAATTGAAGATCTTAAATATTTGTATGTTATGAAACTAGTCATATAATCACTGTGTTTAGTTGAACAAAGCAAAATGGGAAAAGGAGGATTGTCGAAATTTTCAGTGAGCCTCTGGTCTTAATTAAATAGAAAGAATACTCTTAGTGACTAGTTGTTTTAAAACATAGGAATTATTCTTATTCAGGAACAACAAAGCCAAGAGATCAGGAAGTGGTTGCAATTGAAAAAATAGTTATGGTTCCCAAGAAGTGGAGCATGCCATGCACTACAGGGCCCCATGGGGAAGCACTAGGAGCAGTCAGGAAGAGAATATAGTTTCTAAGGGAAGGAATTGGTAAGACAGGGTAAAAAAGACTGTATTATCTTGTTCGAATAATTTTATCAGGCTCTTAAGTATAGGGGCTATCTCTAATTAACTGGTACCTGGCCCTGGGATGATTAGGCAGATGGATGGTGGCCCAGGATATAACAGTCCAATAAAGGAGGTTGATGGGGTATGGATTCGGGACAATTGGTCTGCATATGAAATGTGCATATTAATTGTTCACTATCTCTATGAAGTAGCTCCGGGAGAAGCTGTCCCTCCAGTGTCAACCAGGCTATAGATATCAAAGCATCAGAATAAAGACATGCTTAATACACTAGTAATTAAGGAAATGACTAGATGGGAGAAGGGAAAAAATACCAATTTATAATTAAGTGTGCAGTTGTCCATATTCAAATCCTGTTTTGTTTTGGGTTTTTTTGGGTACCGGGGATCGAACTCAGGACCTAGTGCTTTCGAGCCAGGCGGTGGAACCACTGAGCTAAATCCCCAGCCCTCATAAAGCCTTTTTAACAAACTCTTATTGAAATGTCCCATGATTACCCATATTGTGGATTCTTCCTTTGCTGCAGAGTAATAAACTCAACTTATTAAACTATAGTTCTGCTTCTGGTGGTGTTTGGCAGAAGGACACTGGTATAAGTTACTCCTAGTCTGTTTGCTTTCCAGCTCCCAAAGTTTTTTGGCAGGTGTCATCTCTCCATTCTTTGTCATTATGTGTTTAAAAAATTCCCTGCTAAACTCATTTTAGTAGTCTTTTGGAAAGAAATAGAGACACCCGGTAATCAGAAGTCCCATTTCTTTAATGTTTTAAAAATGTAACATGAAGCTTCTGTATGTATAAATATATGTATAAAATAGTTTTAAAATTATTGTATTTTATACAGAAAAGAAAGCAGAAGGAGTTTATACTAATGCCAGGAAGCAATTACTCATTTCTGCTGTTCCAGCGATCCTAATTCTCCATCTTAAAAGATTCCATCAGGTAAAAATCCCTTTAGTAGTACTATGTTTTCCTTCATCATGTGTGTTTTGCAGAGCGCTAAGTTCCATAGAATATTGTCAAGGATTAGAGAGTAATTTGTTGAATTTAAAAATTTGTCATGGGGGATTTTCTGCTAGTCAGTCGAGCCATAAGAGTTTACAAGGCTTCTCTGATTAAAATTGTTTAATTCACAGTATTTGAAGATTTAGGCAGTAGAAACCTAAGCGATAATCTCTAAGTGGCATATGTCTGTGTGTGTTAATGGAAAATAAGTTTTATTATGGACACTTAAAAGCAGCCAAGTAGGAAAGTACACAGAGGAACCGAGTGTGGTGGCACACACCTATAATCCCAACACTTGGGAGGCTCAGGCAAGAAGATCACTGGAAAGCTCAAGGCCAGCCTGGGCTACATAGTGAGTTCAAGGCCAGCCTGGACTGCATAGTGAGACCCTGTCTCAGAAAACAAAAAGTCCAAAGTGCCATCCCTATACTAAAACTACTTACTACTACTGCCAGATCTGACTTCTAATTGTTTTGTTAAACAAATTTTTATCTATGTTTGTACTTTTCTCTTCTATTATCTTTATCCAGTTTTAGTATTAGCACAATGTTGACTTCCTAAAACGAATGGAGACGTTTTCCTTCTTTTTTCTGCTTTAAATGTTTGATATAATTCATCAGTTAAAATGTGTATGACCCTATTGTTGTCATATAAGTGGGTTTTCAGGCTAGGAATACACTTTCTTTAATAGGTGCTATTCAAATTTTATGTTTCTTCCAGAGTCAGTTTCATTAATTGGTCTTCCAAGGTACTTCATAGAAGTTGTCAAATTTATTTCAAAAAAGATTTTTGTAATATGCTTTCTGTATCCTTTTAAATTCTTCAAAATCTGAGTTAATGTCCTCTAAATCTTGATATTGTAATTTTAAAAAAATGTATAATTGATAATGTGTAATAGGAAGAAAAGGTCTAAAGGAGCAAGGGAAGTGGGAGGGGTAGGGGAAAGGAAAGAAGGGAAATAAAAAATAATGAGAAAAGGAAAAACATGGAAACAAAGTCTTTGTAAATAGGGAAGGGTGGAGGGGGTGAAGGGAGGGCTAGGAATGGGGAAAAAATAAAAACCAAGATATGTCATGTAAAGGTACAAGATCCCAATGAGGAATGTAACTGTATTGTATACCTAAAATGTACCAATAAACTTAATGGAAAAAAAGAAAGAAAACAAAAAGTCAAATACACAGGGCTTTCTGAGCTCTCACTCAGGACCCCACAAAAAGGTTGCCTGAGGGAGGAAGGACTAAACACAGAAAGGCTCCAAGGCAGACCTTTTTCTGTAGGACTTGATGGTCGAGGGCAGCCTAAATATTTTTAATGTGTCAAGTTTTTTCCACTTATTTGTAGTTTTAATACAGTGCCTTTTCTCAGTGAGACTTTTTTGTATTTTAAAATTTCCTTGGAAGAATGAATAATTGAAATACTAAAAAAACTTTTAGAAAATATTTGTTTTAAAACAAAACTGTAGTAATGGAATAATTTGATTAGAATTGCCAATAAATAAAATGTGAGTACAATTTAAAATTAAGATAAAGGAAGAATCTCAAATCAGTTGGGAATGGGCTGCATTTATTCAGGACATATATTAATTGCCTTTCCATTGCTGGGACAAAATACCTGACACTTGCAACTCAAAGGAGGAGAGGTTTAATTTGGCTCATGGTTTCAGAGGTTTCAGCCCATGGCTAACTGGCTCCATGGCAGAAACAGACAGAAGGGTGTGGTGGAGCAAAGCTGCTTGCTTCTTGGCAGCCGGGAAGCAGAGCACAGGGCAAGAGTGCAAGAGGAAGGGGCAGGAACCAGGTATAGCCTAGCATGCACAAGGTCCTGGATTCCATCCCTAGTACCACCACAAACAACCCCATGAAGGTTCCTTCTGATTTATATAATGTATGCCATTTACTTTTATTGATTAACTGTTCAGGTTTTTTTTCTTTTTAATGAATGAATGGATATCATTGAATTTTAGAAATGAAAAGGATTTAAAATCCATTTGTACTTTTTTTTCCATACCTGGAATTGAATGCAGGGTCTGCACTGAGCTACATGCCCAGCCCTTTATAAATTTTTTTATTTTTAAATTTTTATTTATTTTTTAAATTTTTTATTTTGAAACAAGGTATTACTAAGTTACTAAATTGCTCGAGCTAGGCTTGAACTTGCTCAAGATCCTCCTGCCTCAGCCTCCCAGAGTGCTGGAATTATAGATGTGCACCACCACACTATTTTGTACCTGTTTTTTGCCTTGACCTAGATGAAGTCCTTAAGTCAAGTACACTGTTAACAAGTAATTGAGTTAGGGCTAGAACACTTGGCCTTTTACTTGGATACATTTCATGATAGCATATGTGTCAGTAGCTTAGCTTTTAACACATTAAATTAATTTTTCCATAGGTGTTGAAAAGCCAGTGGAAGTACCTTGTTGTTCATGGTTTAATATCCATGTAAATGAATAATGTTTGCAGTAATTGTTTATGAAACCTAATTTTTAACTTAGTCGTATCAGTTGTAGGCTCTTCATTAGTCATATTTATTTATATCTATGAAAAAATTCCCAGAATTTCTCTTTTGGTTTTAACACAGTGCTTTAGACCTAATTAAGTTTGTTGCATTAAAAAAACTTTTTTTTTGGGTCTTTTTAAGGCTGGTGTGACTCTTCGTAAAGTAAACAGACACGTAGATTTTCCACTTACTCTTGATTTAGCACCATTCTGTTCTGCTACCTGTAAGGTACTGTATATTGGGGAATTTAATCAACTTGTAATTAATAAGCTAACAAGCTTAAAGGTATCCTGTACATTATTTATTAGCTGAGCTTTGATTCATTGTTTTTTAAATAAACTTCACCTTTAAATTTAAATAGTGTAGTTAAATGAATAACTTGTGGCACATTTAATACACTGGATGTGACTTTTGAGAGAAAGATAAGGTATGGTGCTTAATGAAGATCAAAGCTATTTGTAAATGTAATTAGAAGCTGATAATTGCTGAGAGAAGTGATCAGGTTTTGTGCCCTCTTGTTCCTCATAAGTGATCTGCTTAATTCAGTAGTCAGTTTAGCATTTGTGGAATTCTGTATCTTTTGCAAATCAACAAACCAATGTGTTGTTTTTCAAGTCATTTCATGTGTGCCACTTGAGAGGAGTGTACTTGTTAGATGAGTATGCTACTTCAAAATTGTTAATGCCTTACTAACTAGATATTGAAACTAGTCATACTAGTATACCTAGTTTACTGACTAGGTGTAGAAAGTAGATCAATTTGTAATTGCTTGTACTTATATGTTAGAATTGTGATGATAAATGTGAGGAGTTTTTCTTGAGGGAACAACTTACAGGGTAACCTCGAATATTGCTCATGATTATTGTCCAGAAGTCCAGGTTTTATGGTAAATACCTGAATGCTGTTGAACTTAGCATTTTCAGTACACTGACCAATCAAAACAAACAAAATCTTAAATGCAGTTTTCTGGTGAATCTAATTTATCTCCTGTGGAAAACTGGCACTGTCAAGTATTAACACTCAGTATCCTAGAATTTACTAATGTGTTAAAAATAATAATGAAATTCAGTAAGTTGTGTTAAATTTATAGGAACATTTTATATATAGATATAGATACAGATTTTTTTTTTGGTACTGGGCGTCGAACTTGGAACCTTGTGCTTGCAAGGCAGATGGCAGAACCACTGAGCTAAATCCCTGCCCCAGGAACGTTTTATTTTAAAAAGTACTTATTAAGGGGAATTTCTAGTGTGCAAAAAGTTACAACAATGATGAGCCTCCAGTACCCAGCCCTTTTAAAAACCTCAGGTCTGAGCCAGGCCTGCCCCATCAGCACATCCTGCATTTCACTATTACTCTTTGAAGCAAGTGTTAGGCATCATTTCACCCATAGATATGTCATCTATAAGATAAGAAAGACTCCCTCTACTTTTTTAAAAAACATAACCACAATATCATTTAATGTAATTCCTTCATGTCATCTAGAGTACATATATCCAATTATCTAACATGTGATTTTAAATTGAGTTAATATCCATATAAAGGCAACGTGGTATGATCGGATATCATTTAAGGCTTTTTATTTGGTTTCTCCTTTTCTGACTCTCCCCTCACTTGCCATTTATTTGTTGAAGAAACTGTGTTATTTTTCTTGTGATTGGTCATAATTTAGGTTTTGATGATTGTTCCTGTCTTCTTTATATCCTACAAACAGGTAGTCAGACCTAGAGAAACTTGAGTAGATTCAGGTTTGACACCCCTCCCCCTCCTTTTCTGGTAAGGTTGTTCCATGGAAGTGTTCTGTTCTAAAACTTGGAGATCCATTGCACCACTGTATATATCTTTTGTGACATTTGCAAGCAATGATGCTCAGCGCTATGTCCATGAGTTCTCTAAGAATTACGGAATGATGCCCTAATATGGCATTTCTCCTTTATTTATTAGCTATAGTACTTATAGAGAAATTCCTTTTATTTTCATCTTTATTCCTTTTAGTTTTTTTTGCTTTGTTTTGTTTTGCTTCATTTATTTGAGACAGGGTCTTGCTGTGTAGTTCAGGCTGGCCTCAGACTCACTATGTATCCCAGGCTTGGCTCGAACTCACAGTGATCTTCCTGCCTGTGCCTTCCAAGTGCTTCCTTTTATTTTTTTTATGGTGTTGTTCTTACAGAAAAGGAAAGATAAGTGGCTCTTGGCTCTTTCTAAACTGGTTTTTAAAATAATGAAGTACTATACTTCACTAAGAATCCTCAACCTGTGCTTAATTGATTTATCATCATAAATTTCAGGATTAAATAGACATGTTTCAATATATTACATTATTCTTTTTGTTTATATTCTAATAGATTAAATGATGTATCCATGTTTGACCACTGAACGACACTTCAGACTGGCTTCTTTAGTCATTTTGACATAACCTCAATGGTTTCTGTCAGTATGGGTTATGTCACCTGCTGGATATATTGTTATTTTTTTGTTTTGTTTAGTTTTGTTTTTGAGACAGGGTCTTGCTATGTATTTTAGACTGGCCTTGAACTCACTGTGTAGCCCATGCTGGCCTCAAACTTGTAGAGATCCTCCTGCCTCAGCCCCCTGAGTGCTGGGATTACAGGCATGTGGCACCACACCTGGCTGTACTGTTCATTTGTGCACTTTAAAATCTTTCTGTTTGGAGATTGCTTTTTAAACTTTAATTTTGTTTAATAATTAAATAAAGGCATAAAATATTACATAATTTCAAAGCCAAATGTATCAAATGCACTAAAAAAATAAATTCAAAGAAGTCTTGTTTTTCTCTCATGTCTATTCTACCTGCTTCCTCCTTTTATAAATATTTAAAAACTATGTTTACTCTTCTTTATTTTAAAACATAAGCAGATAGCTATGTGTATTTGCATCTCCCTCTTAAATAATGATAGTTTACACTATATATCCCTGTTTTCTATCTTATTCTGTCTTATAAGCTGGAGAGTATTTCATAGACGTAGTTATAGTCTGCCCTCCACTTTCCCTCCTTCCCTCTCTCCATTTCTAAAGCAACATAATACCCTGTTGGGTGGATACATCACCGTTTATTTAATCAGCTCTTAATTTATGGACATTTGAGTCTATTGGAGTCTTTTCATATTACAGTGATCCTCTTGTTAATAGTCTGATGCCTTGTTAAAAATTTTTGCTCATGTACCTGTGGGTTAGAATCCTATAAATCAGGACATTGTCATTCTTTTTTTTTTTTTGTACTGGGGATCGAACTCAGGACCTTGCGCTTGCAGGGCAGGCATGGTGCCACTGAGCTAAATCCCAGGCCCAGAATCCTATAAATCAGATTGATGAATCCAACAATAATATATATGTAACTTAGCTAGATAGTATGACATATCACTGCAAAAGGATAGTACCCGTTTTTGTGTTCCCACATACAATCTCAGCAAGTACCCCCCACAGACCATCCAACAGAGAGTCAAGCCTAATAGTCTGAAAAAAGTATCTCAGTGTAGTTTTAATAATACATTTCTCTATTTTAAGCAGGATAAATATTTACTTGCTTTTTCATACCATAATATTTCACTAAGTGTTACTAATTTCATTTTTTTTCTTTATTTAAAAGAATGTAAGTGTGGGAGATAAAGTTCTCTATGATCTGTATGGCATAGTGGAACACAGCGGCTCAATGAGAGGAGGTCATTACACTGCTTATGTGAAAGTGAGACTACCCTCCAGGAAGTTACTGGAACATATCACTGGAAAGAAGAGCATACCTGGTATGCCAACCTAAGTATACTTTATTCTTTTAAAAGTACATTTTAGGGCCGGAGATTTAGCTCAGTGGTTTCGCCACCTGCCTCGCAGGCACAAGGACCTGAGTTTGATCCCCAGTACCAAAAAAAAAAACTGTACATTTTATTCTTGAAAATAAAAGAATTTGTCCTTCTTTATAGGGAAGAAGTAGATTATTATTTCACAGGTAACTCACTTGGATTCACTTTATTAATGTTAAGTAAGATTACCTCTAAGAGTGCTTAATCTTAGAGAATGTTAATTATTACAAAACTGTACCTTTTAGGTGATATAAAGTGACATATGGCTTTTCAAGGTATTGAGTCATTGTGTACTGCAGTAGAGTAGTATTTAATAATAACCCCCTCAGAAAAATCAAATTTAATCATAACCAACATATTTTGAAGGTATACCAAGTCCTCCAAATAGAGTTGGAAATTTGCTGGCTTTGCTTCTAGATGATCAGAGTAACTCCGCTCCCTTCCCGCCTTTCAGTGAATTTTTCTTTATTTTGAGCAAGTTAGTATTTACAGAGCTAATATTTCACTAGGTATTTAAATGAAAGAGCTACTAACTGGAGATAATTATTATTTACCCCAGTAATATTAGTGCTTTGAAAGAATTAGTTCATTTTGGAAAATGTTTAACCCAAGAAGAAAGAGACTAATACAATAAGGCCTATCACTGGAAGAACATAGTCTGTAATGAATATGTTGCTGTTTATACTTTAGAGAACATACAATATACTTACTGTAAAATTCTCCTTCTTTTTATTTTGTTAGGTTTGAAAGAACCTGATCGAGAATCAGGAGGCCAGTGGGTCCATGTTAGTGACTCTTACGTGCAAGTGGTTCCAGAATCGAGAGCACTTAGTGCACAAGCGTATCTTCTTTTTTATGAAAGAATATTATAATTATTTTTTAATTGTTAATTAGTTAGCTCACTTTTATTTGACTGCTGCAATGGTAACCATAACATGTTATGTGCCTTTGTAATGTGTCTTCTGTAGGGAGAGCATATCCCTCAAAAATGCTTAACTTTTTTTTTTCCATTTTGGAGAATGCTTTTACAGTCAATTAAATTTACTCAGTGCTTTCAAATTAATATCTTAAATGTAAAGACTTTTTTTTTCTTCAAAAATTTGTCCTAGGGGACTAAACAATTTACAGTAGTAGAATAACGTCTTTATGATATGGCTTATCATTACAAGCATTCAGAAATGATCCTGGCTAAATGAAATCATTCCTTAATACAGTGTTTCTGAAAGGTGGTAACACTTTCCTGATCTCATGGAATATATCCTGTGCCATTATTTACTTATTATTTTTTTAACATTTTAGGATTTTATAACAGCCATGTTATGAGCAATCATATTTCACATTTTACATGCTTATTATTTTTCATAATATTAAAATAAATTTGTAACTATTAAAGCATTCATCCATGTACCACGCCATTTAAAAATCATCTCAGGGCTATCCTGTGGTATATATGTGTATCACTATTTGGAAAACATTGCTATACCTGTATGAATGCTTAATATAACATAGTTATCGCCGCCTGCTGCCTGCTGTGCAAGCACAAGGACCCGAGTTCAATCCCTGGTACCAAAAAAAAAAATATATATATATATATATATATATAAAACATAGTTATCATGTCATATTTTATATATGATTCAGCCATATAAAAAGGTGTCACTGTAATTTTAGTACTGTGGCTTTACAAGTAATTATTGCTGAGCTTATTACTTTGAGGTTTTGAAATTATTGAAACATTTTATAAACATATCATCTGCAGCCTATTCGTGGAAGAGTTAGATAATTTATAAGAGGTTGGCCAGGGTCAAAATATAATTACAGATAATTGTAATGTGCAAAATTGGTAAATAGAAGTTGATAATCTATATGGCACCATAGGATGCCTTTGAAATTCAAGTTACCAAATTATATTTGTAAATGGTAGAGAATTATATTCTTATACTTACAGAGAAATAATATGCATTTTCTACTTCTGTATTTCAGTAAATATTAAACATTGTTTTAGGTTATAGAGACCACTTTTGTGAGTGTTTTCAAAAAGCATCATTTAATAGTCTAACTTTTTTTTTTTGGTACCGGGGATCAAACTCAGGACCTTGCACTTGAGAGGCAGGCGTGGCGCCACTGAGCTAAATCCCTGGCCAACAAGCATCATTTAAGTTTCGAGAGAATTTAGCTTTTAATTTACTGGGCCACAGAGCAAGTGCTTCTGTTTTAAATAATTGCAAAAACATGGTAGTTTCCCTTCTTTAGAATACAAATTATTAAGCTGATAAAACATGGCATGAAAAATACAACTCTTGGTTAGGCCTAAATTTCAAAAAACCATGGGTACTTTAGGGTCATATTATTGTTTTGGGTTTTTTTTTTTTGCTACCGGGGATTGAACTTGGGTCCTCTTGCTTGCGAGGCAGGTCGCGGAACCACTGAGCTAGATCCCTGGCCCAGGGTCATATCATTGAATCAAAACGTAACTGCATGGGTTCAGGCATCCTAATCATTAGTGCCAATGGATGATTCTATAGGCAAATATTGAATAATTTCCTACAAAAGGGAGAAGGAATAAAAATAGTCATTGTATATAATGTGTGGAAATATTAGTCAAACCTAGTCCTTTGTAAAAAGTAAGTCTATAGACTGTGTATGTATGTTTTTTGTTGTTGGTTTTTCTTTTTTGGTACTGGGGATTGAACTTCGGTCCTTGCACTTGTGAGGCAGGCGGCAGAACCACTGAGCTAAATCCCCAGCCCAGACTGTGTATGTATGTATAATACATGACATCAAGGTTACCATGCTGCCTTTTGATATATGGATAAATGAAATTATAACTAGTATTAAAGATAGTAATAGTATATAAGATGCAGAGGTTTAAAATGTCATTGCATAAATTCTATTTTTAAGGTGTTGAAATTTCTGTAGTATTGTTTATCTTGTTCTTTAACAATCAAAATGAAGAAATACATCTTTGTTAATCTGCAAAGGCAGGTTGTGTCATGTGAAAGGTAGTTTTGTTTTTTTTTTTGCTGGGTGCAGTGGTGCATACCTGTAATTCTAGCACTCAGGAGTTTGAGGCAGGAGGATCACTTTGAGTTTGAGACCAGCCTGGGCTACATAGTAAGTTCAAGGCTGGCCTGAACTACATAATGAGACCTGTCTCAAAAAAAAACCAAAAGAAAAAAGTAAAAGGTAGTTTTTAGTATTTCCTGTTTAACTGTAATCATTTAACATTAAAGATTTCAGTATCAGAGCAATGTATTTTCTGAAAAATATTAAATTTCTAGCTGGGCGTGGTAGCGCACACCTGTAATCGCAGCACTTAGGAGGCTGAGGCAGGAGGATTGCCACAAGTTCAAGGGCAGCTTCAGCTACATAGTGAGTTCAAGATCATCCTGAACTACATAGTGAGACCCTGTCTCAAAAAGGAAAAAAGTAAAAGGTAGTTTTTAGTGTTTTCTGTTTTAACTGTAATCATTTAACATTGAGAATTTCAGTATCAGAGCAATGTATTTTCTGAAAAATATTAAATTTCTAGCTGGCCGTGGTGATGCACAACTGTAATCGCAGCACTTGGGAGGCTGAGGCAGGAGGATTACCACAAGTTCAAGGGCAGCTTCAGCTACATAGTGAGTTCAAGGTCATCCTGAACTACATAGCAAGACCCTGTCTCAAAAAAAATTAAATTTCTTTATTCAAGTAAGCCATCCTGGTAATTGACAACCCATCCCCCTCAACAAATATAAATAATACTGCCTCGTTTTTCTTCCAGAAAAGACTAGTAAGAGGTATGCACTTTTCATTGGATAGGTATCTTTCTCTTGTTTCAGATAGATATCTAGCTAGATACTTACACTTGGCATGAGTCAGGTAATGTGAGGACACTATTTTACCATCTTTTAAAATGGAAAGACCTCTACAAAATTGAGACATTATTCTAGAGCAGTGATGGAGAACCTTTAGAGACCGAGTGCCCAAACTGCAACTCCAAACCTACTTATTTATTGCAGAATGCCAACACTGCAATTAAACCTGAATATTGAGGGTTTCCTTTAGAAAAAGCAACTGTTATGTGATGCTCGGCTGCTGGGGTAACTTGGCTTGTGTGCCTGTAGAGGGCTCTGCGTGCCTGCTGCAGCATCCATGCTCTAGGTGTGCCACCACTGTTCTAGAGTAACATGAAAATAAAATGCTTTTATTTTCATTTCCTTAGTGATAAATGAGCGAATTCTGAAGTTTATTTTTTTATGGCATAGAATTTATGGATGAATTTTTATTGTCATCTGAAAATAGAAAACATTTGATTTTGATATTCAGAATTTCCTAAATATGGCTTTTGTAAGAGAGAAAGCATGTTAAATTACATATTACTCCACATTTGAACTTTTATTTTTATTTTGAAGTTTTCTGAAGTAAATTTGCAGAGATATTAAATAGTGAGGCTACTGTAATAAGAGTATTCAGATCACCTCAGGAAATAGTATAAATAAATGAGTTTACAGATCACACAACTATACAACTGTCACAGTGTTTGGCTGAATGAATTTAAGAAGTAAACAAAGACATTTCACTAACTATTTATAAAGTGGTTTACAGAGTATGTCTAGGTTCAGTTCCCTCTAGTTTTTCCATATTTAAAATGATAAAATTTTGATTGTGTCAACTATATGAATATTTTTGACATAATCAAGCAGATCTATGCTTAATATTTTGTCATTTAATGTTTTTAAAAATTATATGAAAATCACCTTTTTAGGTGGCCAAGGAGAGTGTTATGTATCAAAAAAATAGTTGATATACCAACAGAGCTATTTTACTGTATTTAATAGCTCTTAGTTCACATATGTGATGACTTCATGCAGTGATTTTATGCAATATTGAATAAAATCTTCTGAAGATTAAGCTGTGAAATGTATCATTCTTCAACTAGTTTTTGTAATACAAGGTTCCATCTTCCTACTTTTCTTAACTTTGTATTCATAATTATTTTTCTGCATGATACCTGATCCAATAAGCCTTCAGCAAATATGTGCAATAGACACAAACTTTTAAATAGTATACTGTGTGTCAAGAGCCTGAGGCAGGAGGATAGCCACGAGTTCAAAGCCAGAAGCTGGCCTGGGCAACATAGTAAGTTCAGGGCCAGCCTGAACTACAAAGCAAGACCCTGTCTCAAAAAACCAAAAAAAAAAAAAAAAGTATACAGTGTGTTAAGACTATTTCTATATTTAAAATATTGCTGTTTATGTAGAAATCATCAATTCAAATCAGTTTAAAAGACAAATGAATATATTTTCAATTTTGAGAAATTCATATGTCATTTCTACTGTTTTAGCTTTACTTTTTTGTAGTGTTTTTAGAAAATAGCTATGTAACTTACTGAGCTTTATTTTGCTGTTACTGTATAAACATCATAATAAATATTAAATTCTTATTTATCTTAAATTGCAAGATTGGTCCTATTTATTTTAAAAAAATGTTTTTTCCATTAAGTTTATTGGTATATTTTAGGTATTCAATACAGTTACATTCATCATTGGGATCTTGTAGCTTTACGTGATGCATCTTGGTTCTTATGTTTCCCCTCTTCCCCTGCCCTCCCTTCACCCCCTCTACCCTTCCCTATTTACAAAGACTTTGTTTCCATTTTTTCTTTTCCCTTCTTTCCTTTCCCCTACCCCTCCCACTTCCCCTACTCCTTTAGACCTTTTGTTCCTATTTCACATTATCAGTTATACATTTTGATCCTTATTTACACTTTTCGTTTTTCACACCAGAGAAACTATTCGGTATTTACACGTGTCCTATTTATTTCACTTAAGAGTATGGCCTCAATGTGCATCCATTTAGCTATAAATGTCTCTAGTACTACTTTTTTTTTTTTTGTACTCCATTTTATTAAAAAAACCACATCTTCTTTATACAGTCTCCAGTTGATGGGCAGTTGGGCTGCTTCCAAGTTTTAGCTGTTACACACTGTGGCGCTATAAACATGGGTGCACATATATCACTGTGGTATGATTCTTTTAATTCTTTGGGGAAGATCCCCAGAAGGGGAATAACTGGGTCAAATGAGACCTCCAATCCTAGATCATTGGATTTCTTTATGTTTTAGCTGCCTTGGACTGCTAGGACAAAACACCATAAACTAGCTGGTGAAACAATAGAACTTATTTCCTGATACTTTGAGGCCAGAAAGTCTAAGATCAAGTTGCCAGCAAATTTAGCTTCTGGTGAGGTCTCACTTCTGGTTCTTACTGCCCTCTCACTGTTTCCTCACATAGTGAAAGGGGCAAGGGAGCTCTCTTGGGCATCTTTTATGAAAACAAGTATCTCTTCATGACCTAATCACTTCCCAAAGCCCTCACTTCAAAATTTCCTCACGCTGAGTATTTGTGAATTTGCTGGGGAGAGGAGGAAATAAACATTCAGCCCATGTCTTTCTTGCTATATACTGAATAACTTCCATATTTTAAAAATGTACTATTTCAAAAATGTATCTCTTGGGCCGGGGATTTAGCTCAGTGGTTCTGCCGCCTGCCCCACAAGCGAAAGGACAGAGCTTTATCCCCAGTACCAAAAAAAAAAAGTATCTCTTCTTCTTCTTTTTTTGTATTGCTGTGTATGAATTTATTGGTACATTTTATTTGATTTTTTTTTTTTTTTGGTACCAGGGATCAAACTTGGGACCTTGCGCTTGCGAGGCAGGCACCGGAACCACTGAGCTAGATCCCCTGCTACTGTGTATGGATTTAACCCAGAGCCTTAGGTATGCTAAGCATGCTGCTCTTCCTAGCCTAGAGCAAAATAACTTACATGGGTCTGTTATGGTTTATGTCCTAAAGCCTCATAGGATCATAGACCAGACCTTCTGAAGATGACTGGATTATAGGAGCATTATAGTTGGCCAGACCTTCTGAAGATGACTGGATTATAGGAGCATTATAGTTGACTTGCTGTTAGGAAGTGGGGCCAGGTCAGAAGAGGCAGGTCACCATGGGCATGACCCAGAAGATTATAGCTACTTTCCCAGCTCCTCCCTTGAGCCTCTGCTTCATGTGTAACATGAGGTGAGTAGATATTCCTCTACTGTTCCCCTGTGCCATTCTGTCCTGCCTTGGAGCCAGCAGCCTATGGACTGAATCATAAGCTAAAATAAACCTCTCCCTTTAGTTGTGGGTGTCAGATATATATTTTTTTCATCTGTGAGAAAAGTGACTAAGCCAGAGCCTCTTTAATTTAGATTTTTGTATCTACCAAGGATGAATATCTTCAGATATTTCTTTAAATGTGTGAATTATTCAGACAAGATAATTCATTAGGAAATATCTAGCTTTGTGTTTTAACCCTGCTTGAGTTATGAAGCTCTTTGTGAATATGATGAAAATTATATATGATATTTTTTCTTTTTTTATACATCATCTTTTATTTGTTTAATTGTTTAATAAGTATTCATCAAATACCTGTAATGTGTTTGGCACTAGGAATACAGCAGTGAACATGAGAGACAGAAATCTTTCAAGAAGTAAGGAAATAGTCTGAGGAATAAGGAAAAGATATGTCAAATGGTAATGATACAGAGGAAGATGAAGTAATATTGCTTACAGAGCTATATTGAAATTAGATTCAGGAGATGAAGGATGTTATAGGCATAGGGCATAGTCCCAAAGAGAAAGCAAAGTACTTGTACAAGTACTAGAGTGGGTTTTAATTCCTAGGCACTGTCTGCTGACAATATACAGACATCTTGATATTTGTATGCTCCTAGAAAAATTTATGTCAAATATTTCTATGTAATTTCAGAGGTTCATGGACCCCCCCTGAAGCCATTTTCATATATTTTTAAAATTGCACTCAAGCAAAAATATCCAAAATGCTCACACTCCTGTATTTATTAGGATAGGGTGGGTTTTACTGTAGTAACAACTCAAAATCCCAGTGGCTCTATACAACAAAAGTTATTTCTTGCTTACTGAATATTCACTGTAAGTCTAGGCTAGTGGTGGCAAACCTATGGCATGCATGCCTCAGGGAGCTGTTTGTGTCATTGAAAGCCCCAAAAGGTTCATTATCACTGGTCTAGGCATTCTGCAAAGGTAACTTTTCCAACTGGCAACTCTGTAAGTGCAGACTTGTGGCTCCACCATTTCAACACCTGGCTTCCTCACTGTGGCCGGAGAAGAGAGTGCTAAAACATCTTGCATCAACAATTACATTTGTTCTTCACCTTGGTTGTGTCATTCAACCCATAGCCAGAAGTAGTCATCTAACCTTTCCTAACTACAAAGAACGATGGATAGGAAAGAGTGAGCTTCCCATGGGCTCAGAAGAGAGGAATGTGAGCTTACTAGTCCACCCTTCTGGTCACTCAGCTCACTTTTACACATGGAACAAAGTTACTCCCTCTTCAAGGGTTGCAGCCCCAAACTCCCATCTAGGCTGTTTTATCATCTAAGACCAGGCTTTTGTTCTCTCTGGTGTGAAGACCTAGGAACCAAAACAATATGTTCTTTTCCACATAGTGCACAGTGGTGGAACAGGTGGAACCACAGCCACAGTAACATTCAGAAAAGGGAAGGAGGACAGGAGGTTCCTTACCCTGGATGTGGGGTATGTTTGTGATTAAATTTACAGTTTCTAGCTGGGGATTTAGCTCCGTGGTGCTGCTGCCTGCCTTGCAAGCGCAAGGTCCTGAGTTCGATCCCTGGTACCCCCCCCCACAATTTCCAGTTTCTAGGAAGAATTCCATGTCCATTGTTATCTGAGACCCAGATTCTATCCCCTGGGAAGATTTTTTAAATTAACCTCCGGCCATTTCTGAATGGCTGCTAAAGAATATGCCATACTTGAGAGTTGCACAGCTTTTAAAAAAATTATTCCCTCGGTGATTGGAGGCTAAAGGTTTGTTTTTTGTTTTTTTTTAAATTTGGAATAGTTACAGGTTCTTTTAAACAAGATATCCATGATTCCTTTCTCAGTATGTACTAAAAGCTTACTAGGCCTCTCATGTACTTCCAGTCAGATTTTATATGCCTTTATCCATACCAGAATTTTTTTTGGTTTTTGTTTTGGTACCAGGGATTGAACTCAGAACCTTGCACTTGCAAGGGCGGGCGGCAGAACCACTGAGCTATATCCCCAGCCCAATACCAGAGTTTTTTGAAACACATAGTTCTTGGGTTGATGATACATTTGTCCTTCAGTGTCCACTGGGGACTGATTCCAGGACACCATCTCCCCCCCCACACACACCAGATGCCAAAATCTAAGGGTAAAATCCCTTATTTATATAAAGTTGCCTAGCATTTGCATATAACCTACACATATCCACCTGCACATTTTAAATCACCTCTAGGTTACTTAGAATACTTAGAACAATAAAAATGCTATGTAAACAGTTGCTATACTCTATTGTTTAGTAAAAGAAAAGGTCTGTATATGTTCAGTGCAGACAATTTTTTTCCTAATATTTTCAATCTGTGGTTGGGTTGGTTGAATCCATAGATGTAGGACTTGAGGATATGAAACACTCGAATAAGGACAGCAATTGTATTTTCTGTGCTTTCTTGCCTCCACACTTCCTGATTTTATGCAAGAAGTTGATAGTTTGTAAGCTCTGATAGGAGAGATATATATGTAGCCATATTCTCACCCCCAGGCATTTTTTTTCTTCAAGTGAGGAAAAAAATTAAGGTTCCATACCCTTAATCCATTGAAAAATTTTCCAAAATAGAAATCTAAACCCTCATTTGCTACAAAGCTGAATTTTAATGATCCTTTTGTTACTTAAAAGCTATTTCAATTGTATATTCTGTTTCAAGGAGTTGGAGTTGAAAAGCCCAATTCTGTGAGGTTCATAATTTTTGATTGTCTTTATTTTGTTCTGCTTGGAATTTCACAAGCCACCTATTTTTTTTTTTTCCTGAGCTCTACTGTTTTTGTTTTTTGCTTCTTTTTTTTTTTTCCTTTGTTCAGGAGGGGTCTTGCTATGTTGCCCAGGCTGATGTTTAACTCTTGGGCCTAAATGATCTTCCCACCAAGCACCTGGGACTATAGCGGTATACTACCATGCCCAACTTACTCTTTATACCTTGCTAAATGTATCCAGTAGCATCCACCACACTCTAGTTTCTTTTTCAACTACTTACCCTAAATGGAAATTCACTATATACATTATTGCCTCCCAGGTCATGATGGGTAACAGTTACATCCAGTGTTTCACCTATGCTTAATGTGAAGAACTATGTTTCCAGGTTCTAATGTTAGTTTTCTATGTCTGACAACCAACCTCTAAGATAGTGCTTTTCACTTGAGGCTTTTCATTTGAGCACACCCAAATTTTGAAATCAGCATCCACATCTCAAGATAGATTAGCCTTATGCTGTATTAAATGACTCCAGAATCTCAGCAGCTTTTTTGGTGGTCACTACAAAGACCTTTGCAGATTTGGTGATCTTTCTGGCAACTGTTTATTTTGAAACAATTCAGAGATGCAGGCTGACAGATATACCATTCCTCTGAAATATGCATTATCTGTTTTGGGTTTTTTTGTTTGTTTGTTTTGGTAACGGGGATCGAACTCGGGACCTTGCACTTGCAAGGCAGGCGGTGGAACCACTGAGCTAAATCCCCAGCCCCCTAATTATCTGAAACTTGCTACAACATCTGAAACATGTGGCCTGTTGACAGTGTACCAGGTTTTGTAAGCATAGGCCCAGAAACGACTTCTTCACTTTACCTACAATGGAATGGCCAAAACTGATTCACAAAGTCCTCTCCCGAGGTAAGAAAGCTTAGATACGCTGTCTTCAGCTCCTTCCTTCTCTGTCCTACACTATGCTTTTGGAGTTGGGCCACTCTTTTTCTTCTGATTCTGGATACCAGAACTCTAGGTTCTCCAGTTGTTGGCTGGATGCCCTGGGACTTGCATACTTTGCATTACTATCCTATTGGTTCTTTTCTCTGGAAAATTCTGACAGTATCCTATCCAGAGGGAAAGTAGAGCCAAAGGAAGAACAGTCTTTTCTTAATGGATGCTAATGAATCCAAACCCCCCTGCATTCTGATGGTTCTGATCCCAGAAAGCTAAGGAAAAGCCAAGGCAGGTTGCAGGGGAAATATTCTCCAGCTTTTTTGGGATTTGTGGGCCTTTCTTATCAGATGTTTATGAGTTTCTGAAGAGTTATCACTATTGTGCCAAGAGAAAATGTATCAATAAATTTAACATGACTCACTTTCTCTGAATTGAATTTGGATCTAATAATTATTAGACAGGTAATATGAGTTATTTTTTGATATTTATAGTTTTTGGTTGTATTCTAAAACTTTAATCACAGTTTTGCTATCTAGAAAACAAACACAGTGAACTCTAATATAACCTGTGGACTTTCTAAAAAAAAGAAACAGTAGAAGGAATCATGAAAGATTCTAGGTAAGAATATGCAGTCTTTTTTTTTTTTTCTTCCTGGTACCGAGGATCGAATTCAGAACCTTGCACTTCCGAGGCAGGCGGGGTACCACTGAGCTAAATCCCCTGCCCTTGTATAAGAATATGCAGTCTTTAACACAGAAGTTTACCTTACTTTCTCCAACCTTGCTTAAACGGCTAATACCTACATAAACCTCAGTATGGTTCATCATTAAATAATAATTATTTTATTATTGTTATTGCAGTCTTGGCAATAGAACCCAGGACTTTGAACATTCTAGGCAAGCATTCTACCTCTGGGTTCAAGACCAGTCTGGGCTACATAGACCCTGACTCAAACAAAAACAACAAAATTAAAGCATTTCAATTTGTAATAATTTGCTTGTAACATATTAGCTTTATATTTTCTCTATTGTATTATCATAGAATATACATGAAACATAAAATTTACCCCTTTAACTATTTTTAGGTGTATAACTGAGTGACATTAACTACTTCACATTGTTGTGCAAACCTCACCATCATTCATTTTTTAGAACCCTTACATCATTCCAAACAGAAATTCTGTACCCAGTAGACAATGTCTCCCCATTCCTCTTTTCCCAACTCCTCACAACTGCTATTCTACTTCCTGTCTCTATGAATTTGCCTATTCTAGGCACCTCATAATAATGGCTATCATGTTTTCAAGGTTTGTGCATATTATATCATGTGTTGGAATTATATAGCCTTTTTAGGCTAAATAACATTGTGCTATATATGTATAACATAGTTTAAAATTATTTATTGAGATTAATGATGGATATGATATGGAACCTAATAACATTATAAAGATTCAAATCTCAAGAAGTAGGAATAGCTCCTATTTCTGTATCTTTTTCACATGTCAGCTTTTTTTCCATTTTACTTTTTTTTTTGGTACCAGGGATCAAACTCAGGTCCTACTGTTTGTGAAGAAGGTGGCAGAACCACTGAGCTAAATCCCCAGCCCTCCATTTTACTTTTAAAGATAATTTCTTTCCATAATAATTCAAGGTACTAATTTAAATATATATATATATATATATATATATATATATATATATAAAATTTTCTACTTCAAACATTGCAAACAGTTTAAAAAGTCATTTTCAAATTCCCTTGTAGGTAAACATTAACAATAGATTGCTAGATAATTGGTAAGCCGGTGGCTGGTTAATAGCACTTGATAACCAGGGTGCAGAATGTCCAAACTGGGCAGTTCATGTACATGACAGTGTTCAGACAGACACTTACACATATTCTGAGAAATCTGGTGTTGAAATACATACACAGCACTTGCCTGTTGTCTCCATTAAGTCATAACGTTACAGAGAAATCCTAGAAGAGAGAGGTTAGGGAAAGGGGACTGTAAAACTCATTTTCCGATCTGGTAAACAGTGACTGCTGAAGAGTTATCTCATTGAACTGGTACCAGAGAACAAAATGTGAGACATTTAATAATCCCTTCCACTTGGCAATGAATATCCAAAACTACTGGCTTACATCAAGATCATTGTTCAAAATAGCAATTCAATCACTTGACTAGTGAAAATTTCTGTGTATTAAGTACTATGCTGGGCACTGAAGGCAGAAGTGAGAAAAATCCTTACTCAAAAATTGTTTCAACTTCATTAGGGAAATAACTAAACTATAAGACAATTACAGGGAATAGGGACATCTGCATCTCTCAGTAGTACAATAAGGTTTCACTGAGAAGATAGAGTATTTCTCTGATCAGAACGTTTTTCAGGGAAGTAAAGTTGGAAACAGTTACAGAGGAAATTGGATAACTACTAATAACATGTGGTATGTGACCTCCGTGTTTTTGCTCCATGAAGAGGTTTTTTTTTTTTTTTTGGTACCAGGGATTGAACTTGGATCTTTGCAGTTTCGAGGCAGGTGGCAGAACCACTGAGCTAAACCCCTGGCCCATAAAGGTTTTTAAAAAAGCATAATAAACTATTGAGTTGTTTTAGTTGTGCTAAGTGGAAAGTAAAGGGGGAAAGAAACAGTGTTCCTTTTGTCTCCAGTAGTATCCTCATAAATTCATATCATAGTGTTGCCACATGTAATTAGTGAACATTTCTCCGAAAATAAAATGATATTTTGAGTGCTACTTAGATTTGAGGACTAGCAGATCTTTAGCTAGTACTTTATTCTAATGATAATACAAGAGTACCTGGGATTTATTAAAGACTGAATTTCACATAAAGGTCACCCATAGTCTCACATCTATTTTATAGGTATCCTTTTTATAACAGTTACTTTTAAAATTTTGTTCCTATGGTAATTTGCTGTTTGTGGTGGGGCCCTCACATGCTGGGCAAATGCTCTACCACTGAAATTTGTTCCCACCCCAATTTGCTGTTTCTTTTGCACACCTGCCAACGAAAGGATTTAGGATTCTTGTTTGCTTGCTTTCTGGTTTGTTTGTTTGGTTTTTTGTTTTTTGTTTTGAGACAGGGTCTCCCTATGCAGTTCAGGCTGGCTTTGTTTGGCTTTGTTTTTGAGGTGTTTTTTTTTTCTTCTTTGGTACCGGGGATCAAACTCAGGACCTTGCGCTTGGGAGGCAGGCACAGAGCCACTGAGCTAAATCTCCAGCCCCTCAGGATGGCTTTGAATTCATTGTGTATGTAGCTCAGGCTGGCCTTGACCGCCTGGGCAATCTTACTGCCTCAGCCTCCTAAGTGCTGGGATTACTGGCAAGCGCCACCATGCCCGGCCAGGATTTAAAATTCTAAATACATTTTTTTTTGCAAGTTAACAACTTTCATTTATTTAATAGCAAAACATTATTGGTACATTTTAGGCATACATAGTACTAACATTCATCATAGGGAATTTGCACCTGTACATGGTACGTCCTGCCCCTTTTTTCCCATTCCTCCCCTCCCTGCAGGCCTCCTTCCCTCCCTAAGTACCACTTCTAAAATTTTTTTTAGACAGGGTCTCACCGTGTAGTTCAGGCTGTCTTCGAACTCCCTATGTAGTCCTCGAACTTTTAAGGCTATCCTCTTGCCTCAGCCTCCCGAGTGCTGGGAGTAGAAGCTAAATACACTCAAAGTCATATAAAAGTTTACTTTGAAAAGGCGCTTCCCCAGATTTAGCCTAGAAATACTGTACTATTGAACATTTTTTTCTTAAAACTTTATAACTTGAAATTCTTGGCTTTAAGAAATTGGTACTTTTGATACATATCAACACACTGTAAAATCAGTTTTCTTTCTGAGGCACTGTACTGCACATGCCCTTCCGGAGGCCATTTTGTTGTCAAGGCAAAGTAGCCAGATGAGAACTAGGCCTCCCGCCACTTTTTTGTAAAGGTTAGAGATTGAAATTCAGGACTCGCTGAGCCAAGCCGAGTTTAGCGAATGTGCCCAGGAGGGGGCGCGATGTTTTTAAATTAACAAAGAAGGGAGGCTACCAGTCAGCTAAGGTCTCTTTTGCTTTTGCTACCGACCCAGACTAGCCATCTGCACACACGTCTTGTTTTTCCGAACACCCAGCGAAATTGAGCAACACCCAAGCCTGGAGTACTCCACAAACGCTCAGGCCGATTTGGCCCTGCCTGCAGCACTGCTCCGGATGCACCGAGTACCTGGCCAGAGTTGGCTGGGTTTGATTCTGGGGCCGCTCCGTAATCTGAAAGCCGCGAGGCGAACTCGAACCCTTTTCCAAAGCGAGACTATTCGTGGGGAGAATACACACTTGAATGAGAGTCGGGTTATTAAAGAATTTGAGGGCGCTCTCTGCGTAGAACACTTGCGCTCTTCGTTTTCTGCTCAAAATAAAGATGAAAGCTTGTCGGGCTCGGCACCAGCATACACTGGGACAAGAACATTCAAGACAGTCGTAAAGACAAGGTGGTTTTGCCCATAACAAAAATGGCGCTGGAAAGTGACAACGCAATAGTCACGTGCTCACAAAGCCAGGATGCGAGCTAGTATGGCTTCAGATGACGAGCGGATGTTATTATTATTCACTTCCGGGTGAGACTACCCGGGCGCCATCTTGTCTTGTTCGTAGAAGTAGAAGCATCGAAAGGCTTGGAGAGTATTGCAAGAACGGTGGCGACAGCAGCGTTCCTTGAACGAGGGTAGGTAAGTGGTGAAGAAAAAGTGCACGTGGGGACTTTCCGAACTACAATCTTCTTGATCTTGTGGCGAAGTATTGTGACTGACAGGCTGCGTACGTTGCTTGGTGCGAGCGCTGGAACCTTATACCCTTAAAGCAGCGGCATCCGCCCGTGAATCAGCAGTGCTCTTGGTGAAAAGGAAGTGTTCTTATTAAGGAGAGTGTTCAAGACTTTTAAGAAAGAGTTTCCTCCCGGATGAGATGGGACTAATTGTTGGGCTGCTGGCCGGCCGTTAAATATTGCGCGTGCGCAGAAGAAACTCTTGTAGGGAGGAGGGTGCAGCCAGCGCAACGCAGCAGGCTGGTGCCGGGACCCAGAGCTTAAGACTCTTGTGTGGTTCCGACTGCGCAGGCGCAGCCAAGGGCGGCTGAGTCCTGTTAACTACAAGTAGGTTCCTTAGGGTCTTTCTTGTGTTCTTATTCGGTGGTAGACATTATGCGTTAAGCTTCACAGAGGTGACGGACAGCATCCATAATTTTAGTTGTTTGGTCCAGTGGTAGATAGTATTGTCATCTAAACCGATTGAGCACTAGACAGATTTTGATCGTGGGTGGTAAAATTGTTAAATTAACATTCACATTTAAGATCTCAGTACCTCATTAGTATTTTTTCTTCCCCTGACTCCAGATAAAATAAGCGTGGAATTTCTCATTTTAGTATACCAACGCAAAAACCAAAAATGCACTAAAGATTTTACTTGTGGCCTAGTCTTATTATTATTTTTTGGTACTGGGGATCGAACTCAGGTCCTTGCGCGTTTGCTGGGCAGGCGGCGGAACCACTTAGCTAAATTCCCGGCCCTAGTCTTACAAAAGGTCAAGGGGGCTTTTGGGAGACTAACAGTAAATCAGTTCTTGAGAAGTTCTATAGTTGTAAAATTTTTTGTTAATAGTTTATATTTTAGAATAGGTTTTGCTTCACACAAAAATTGAGCAGATGGTACATAACCATAATCGACCTCCTCCTACCTCTTTGCTTACTAGCGTGCATTATTATATTTTTACTACAATTAATGGACCAAAATTGATAAATTATTAACTGAAGTCCATAGTTTATTCTTGTTTCCTTAGTTTATACCTAAAATTCCTTTTCTGTGCCGGGATCCTATGTGGAATACCACATTCCACATTGTATTTGTTATGTACTTTAGGCTTTTTTTGAGTTGTTTCTTAGGCTTTCTTTGGTTTTGATGACTGTTACGGACTTGAGACCTCCCAGAATTGATATGTGGAAGTCCTAAACTCATTACCTCAGAATTTGACCAAATGGGAGAGGGTCTTTAAAGAGTTAAAGTGAGGTCATTAGAATGGACTCATCCACTATGATTGGTGTCTTTATTTATTTATTTATTTTTTTGATTGGTGTCTTTATAAGAAGAGATTAGGAGCAGGCATGGTGGTGCACACCTCTCATTCCAGCAATCCGGGAGGCTGAAGTTGGAAGATGAAAAGTTTGAACTCAGTTTAAGCAATTTTAGCAAGATCCCAAGAGATAAGGGAGGGGGGAGAGAGAGGGGAAAGAGACATCAAAAGAATTAGGATTTGTTATGTACATGTACCAAACACCCCACGATGAATGTAATCATTATGTACTGCAAACATGTACTAATAAACATTTTTACACCCCACCCCACCCCAAGTAGTGGTAGTGTTTGGGAATGTAGCCTGGACCCCGAGAACCTTGGGGGCCAGATATGAGTGAGAGAACCAGAATGAATTAGGATACAGATAATGCCATCTATAAGCCAAGGAGAAGAGAGAGGCCTTAGATGAAACTAACCCTACTGAAGCTTTGATCTAGGGCCTTATCTTGGCTCTAGAACTATGGTTAAATAAATTTCCCTTGCTTCACCTAGTCTGTTACTTTGTTATGGCAGCCCTAACAAATGTACATGCTGTGACCTTGACTTTGTTTTTCTTTCAGTACTGGGGATTGAACCTAGGGCCTTTGTACCAAGCAACATCACCACCTTTTTCTTTTTTAAAAAAATTCTGTTTTGTTTGGAAACAGGGTCCCACTAAATTGCCCAGGCTGGACTTAAACACTTGCAGTCCTCCTGCTTCAGCCTCTCAAAGTGCTGGGCTTACCTTGACTTTTTTAAGCAGTATTTTTTTTTTTTTTTTTTTGGTACGGGGGATCAAACTCAGGTCCTTGCACTTGCGAAGCAGGTGATGAAACCACTGAGTTAAATCCCCGGCCCCTTTAAGCAGTATTGATCAAGTATATTGTAGAGTCCTTTCTTACTGGAGTATTTCCATTATTTATTTGGAAATCGGTTTGCCTTTTATATGCCCCCATCTATTTTTTTTTTTTTAATGGCACTAATATGGTCCAGGCTCATCATTTTATATTTCTTCCCCCAGTCCTGGAATCAGCCATTTCTCTAAGGAGTTCCCAGTCCTTTTATTACAGAATAATAATAGAACCAAGTTCTAGGTGCTTAGATGTGCTTATTACTAGTAGGGTGTTGCTTTAGGCTTTCTCTTTGACTTTTTTAGTTTTACTATTTTCACAGGGAGGGGTATTTATAACCAAACTATCCAATTCTCCAGTACTTTTTGAATACGTATCTCTTTTGAGCAACAAGCTGAAGAATATTTCATATATACTAAAAGCATGTGAAGTCAAGGGATTAAAAAAAAATTTACCAGTCTCCAAATTACAAGATTAGCTTTCATTAGCAACATTTCTACTTAACCTGAGTTGAGCAAATGAATTCTTTTCCATTTTGAGGTCAGTCATGTGTATAAGACTGAAATGGTAGGGGTGAAGCAGATTGTTATATTTTGTGAATTTCAATTTTGTATTTGCTGTGAGGACCATTTCACCATATGCTTAAAGGATAAATGTATTTCTGTCTCTCTTTGATTTTGCATTTGATGCTTAAAGGATCACTTTTTGGTCTTCCCCCTCCTGCGCACTCCCTGTACTGGGAATTGAACCCAGCGTCTTCATGCAGAGTCAAATCCCCAGCCCTTTTGTTATTTTTTATTTTGAGACAGAGTCTTGCTAAGTCACTAAGTTGCCTAGATTGGGCTTGAATTTGTGATCCTCCTGCCTTACCCTCCCAAAGTGCTGGGATTACTGGCATGCACCACCACTCCTGGCAAGAATCACACTAATTCTTTATCTATCTTTTTGTTACACAGTTTTAATGACTTTTGCAAATATTAATGATGGTCATTTAACAAGTCATTTTAGGAAACTCAAAGCAATGGTAGTTTTAATTCATTTGAAATAAGGATCAGATAAATGACCATTTCTGATATTAGTTTCCTAGGGTTACCATAATGAATTACCATAAGCTGGATGGCTTAAAACAGTAGAGATTTATTTTACAATTCTGAAAGCTAACATCTGAAAACAAGGTTTTGGCAGGATCATGCTCTGTGGTTATAGAGGAGGAATCCTTCCTTCTCTCTTCCTAACTTTTTGTGGTTTATATCCATCAGTGACGTTTGTATACCCCACTCCAATCTCTACCACTGTAGACATTTGTCTTTTTTCATTTTTTTTTTTTTGTTTTTTTTTTTTTGTACCAGGGATCGAACTTGGGTCTTTGGCTTGCGCAGCAGGCGCTGAAACCACTGAGCTAAATCCCCGGCCCATTTGTCTTTTTTCTTAAAAGAACACCAGTCATTTGATTAGATCTCACATAATTAAGAACTGTATGAACGCATCTAAATTTGAATACATCTCCAGAGACTTATTTCCTAATAAGTATACATTCACAGGTATCAGGGGTTAGTCTATCAACACAAATCAGTTTATAACACTGGTGATAATCATAAGTTTAATATTTTTTGAGCAGTGTGATAGGTTTTTTTGGGGGGGGGTACTGGGTATTGAACTCGGGTCCTTGCACTTGCGGGGCATGCGGTGAAACCACTGAGCTAAATCCCCAGCCCCTAGCATTGTGATAGTTTTGATGATCTGATGCAAACCTTGGTTTTTGATCTTTCTATTCTTTCCGGATCCTAGTTGTTTCCCAAGGAAATCTCAGCTTGAGCTCATGAAGGGAAATATGTACTCTCAGGAAAACCTTACAGCCTGGCTCACAGTAAAAACCTTTCTCCAAACTTGAAAAGTTGAGCCTGTGACACTTTAAATTTTTGATGTTGTAAAGTGACAGTAGCAGTACTAGAATGTTGTTTTCTTTTCTTTTTTTTGTACTGAAAATCAGAGCATGGCCTCCCGCTTGCCAGGCAGGTGCTACACCACTGAGCTACATCCCTGGCCCTAGAATTTGTTTTTTGCAGTACCCGGAATCGAACTCAGGACCTTGCACTTTCGAGGCATGTGCGGTGCCACTAAGCTAAATCCCTAGCTCCCTAGAATGTTATTTTTGTGGTTCAGTATTAATGTATTCACTTGAAATATTTAATCTCTTAATATGAGCAAAGCACTGTGGAGAATTCAAGTAATTGTATTTCTTCTGCCCTCAAGAAGATTCTTATCTGAGCCAAGACAAAACATGAAAATTTAATATATTTACTCTAAAATTGGGAATATATTGTTTGAACTGTTTCATCAATAACTTACTTTGGAAATTTTTAAACAATGTGAAAGTATAGTTGAGTGCCTGTCTTTGTTACCAATATTTTCCAAATCATTATTAAACCAAAGTGTAAATGTCATTTTCAGTGGTACAAGATTATGTTATTCATTGAGCCATAGTGGGGCTGGAGGTGTAGCTCCGGTAGGGGGCTTGCCTACTAGCATTTGAAAGTTTTGGGTTCAATTCTCAGGACAACAACAAAAAATCCTGCAGTGAATTTAAAAATAAAATCCACCTTTTCTATCAGTGAGTTCCACATCCATGCATTCAGCCAACTGTGGATGGAAAATATGGGGGAAAATAATTGCATCTGTACTAAACTTAT